AACCCCACCGGGCTGCAAAGGAGGAGCAGAAACAGAGGGGATGTAGCCATGCCCTGGTCAAGCGCAGCCTCATGATGGTCACTCACCCACTGCCCTCCGTATCCGAGTGTTCTCCTCCCCTCCATCCAGCAGGGCTGTGAGCTTTTCCACGCTGAAGGAGGGTGTTTGCCTCTCACTGGCAAGGTCGGGATTCACACCAAGAGCTGAGCCCTGTGAGTACTTTCGGATCTCCAACAATGCCATCCTGGAGGCTGCTCTGCAAAGGGATGGGAGCTCTTTAAGCGCTAGCATGCCTTCAGTGGGTGACTGATGGAAGTGCTGGGTACAGGGAGGAGTGGTTTTAGTAGGTTGGCTAAGGTGGTTGGCACCTGCACGGGTTCTGTGAATACTGAGGCAGTGTCTTGTCCTCATTGCAGTGGTATGGACAATAAAAATCTAGGGCATTTCTAAGCGCTCGAAGTGCAGGGTTTGTGATATCATTGTAAGACATAAAACCTTTTTCTTTCACCAGTCCATCCCCAATATTTTATGAGAAGTCACTGCTGGAACATCCCACAGCCATGTGCTAATGTTTAAGGGAGTTCTTGGCCTATGGATGTCGAAGAGGCTCCTGGACCTGTGCTTGCAGTCCTGGCAGCTCTGCCCGTGCTGCCTCAATCCTGCTTCCCATGGGGCTCGGCTTTACGTTAACTCCTAACCTTTTAGCTCCCGTGTTAGCAGGATTTGTTACAGGATGTTAATAAAGTAGTGGTGTGCAGAAAACAAAATAGATTTCCCCCCTGAAGAGGCTGCCTGCCTTCCCGAGCTACTTTTAATACTGTAAGGAATTTAAACTCTGGAAACTCTTGCAAATATGTTCTTAATTTCCTGTTTGTTTTTTTTGTTGTTCAGAACATTAATTTATTATCCCGGGAGGGGGCAAAGCCTCAAAGCTGATTTCACAGGGTTGGAGTAACCCAGACCTACCCTTGAGCCGTTCCAGGAAGAGCCGGGCTCAGTGCTGGAGCACCGGAAGGGTTCAGCTGCCAGCTCCCTCTTCCGTGAGGCTGCGTCAGGAAAACCCGCTGTGTGTGTCCGCTGTGCTCGGACACAAACCCCACGTACCTTGCTCCATGCACCCTTCAGGGAGCCACACGGCCGCTGCTTACCTGTCCGGGCTCCGCCTGCCAATGTCCCCCCACGGCAGGGACCTTGCCCTGGGGCCATCGGAGCTGGACCCGCCCCATGGGCGTTGCTGCGTGTGTGTGCGCGGCGTGCGGGAGCTGACCAGTGCCGGCAGCGGCCTGGGAGCCTGCGGGGGTTTTCCCGTAGGGAAATCCCACAGCAAGCGGTGCTGAAAGGGCTGGATTAGTTCTACTTAATAACACTCCGTTCTCCTGACCTCGCTTCCGGCTATCGGTGCATTGGAAGCTGCGCTTCTGGCTCCTTTTCTCCTGGTATTTTTAATTTGTACTTCTGTTTTGTAGTCTGCTCTGGATGGAGGAGAGCATCCCTCGGGTGCTCACCGCTCCTTGTCTCTGGAGTTGACTTGCTCACGGTTTTCCCAGCTTAGTTATGGCACTTTCCTAAGGCCTTCCTGATTTTGGGGACGCAAATCAGGAGGTTGGGAAATGTGTCTCACAGGCTAGGACATGCTGGGGGGCAGACGAAGGTTACCATGGGGTGCGTGCTGCTTTCATCTCTGTCCATCCTGAATCTGCTGCATTATATCTTGGTGTCTAGTGGGGGGCAGGAGCTGGCAACTCATCCCACCTGGCTACAGCAGGCGAGGAGTCCCTCCTGCCCACACTTCATTGCTTAGTCTGTGCTGCTGCTTCAGACCTGCTTGTCTCCCACTGGAAATTGCTTTGTCAGGGAAGGAGATGAAACAGGTGGGATTCACTGAACCGCAGGGGTGCTTTAACATGGGAAGTTGAGCAAAGGATGGGAAGTCAGATGGAGTTTTGCATATCTATCATTTTAAGCTTCAGCCTGAGTGAACCAAGCCCAGCAGCCATGAAGAACAACAATAAATCAGAGCACCTGACTGTAATGCAATGAGTGTGCTCATGGGCTTGGTGTGTTAGGGATGAATCTGGTAAAGATGCTGTGTGGCTCCATCACCCTGCCAATAGGACATCCTGTGGACATACTGCTTGGTATGCTGCGCAGCATCACATCCTATGGTGTCTCAGGGTTGTCAGCACTTGTGAGGCAGTAGCTTCTTTCTGAAGTTTTCTGAGGGTTTTCTCTATTTGTTCTGCTGTTTCCTTCTGCCAGGGTCAGAAGCGCTGGGCCTTTTGCTTCTTGAGTGCTGTTTGCCATTGCTGAGGCAGTAATGAATTAGAAAGCAAAACATAAGGGTTCCCTGATAGGAAATTCCACTGCAGCAAACTATCTATGAGCACTTCTGGAGTAAATGCATAGGAAAAGAGACTTCAGCATGACCTGGATAAATTGCAAAGCTGGTATTGAAAACTCTGGCAGTAAGAAGAAATTCAGGCAATGGAGAAGTTTGTGCATAGCTAAAAGGCAGTGTACTTTAAAGAGTAGAAATGAGTATTTCTTACTTTCTTCTGCAAAAGAACTGTCACAATACGAACAGCTGCCTTTGACATCTGTGCATGAAAGGAGGTGCGTGGTTAGTGATAAGCAGTCCTGGGGCATAGCCCATTGAAATCTCCCCAGCCGGGGCTGTGGAAGGCTGATAAAGCACTTTACGTAAAGTCCTGCCTGGGTCTCACATCTTGCCAAAGGCCACGCTCTGCAGCAAAGACCTTTCCCTTTGTGTGGTTTGTGCCAGGGAATGAAGTATGTAACCTGCTGTGGTAGGACAACCAGTGAGCTATTGTTATAAGCAGCAACAATGTGGGAAGATGTTTAGTCAATGAGCCCTTGTCCCCGATGATGAGCTGACTGCTCATGGGTGTGGAGCATTGGGAATACCATGTACCTCCCAGTGTGGATCCCAGCAGATACCTGGTGTCAGAGAAATGTGTTTAGTGCTGCTAAAATGCTTTAAAAATACTAAAACCCAATGAAGTGTCAGGGTTCCCTTTCAGTTCAAATCCAGATTTTTGAATTAAACCCAGGGGCAATGTGTTTCCTTGGCTTTGTAGGTCTTACCCTGGCAGGCAGTTGGGCATCTGTGGCCAGATAGAAATCAAACATATGGGAAGTTTCAGTGCACAAAGCCTGATTCCACAATGTTCATGCCCTTAAACTGTCAGCAAATTGAGATAAAGTCTGGAGATGAGCAATGGGTGCAGCATTGGGGCAGATGATGAAAAGAGTGTATTGATGGGTAGGTTAACACAGCACTAACAAAGGAGTTGCTGTTGGACTTCACTGATCTTTATGTTCGGTTTATTTGGCTGTTGTCTGCTTGCATCCTCAGAGCTTCTTCAGTTCCTTGTGGAAGAGAGCAAAATATACAGTCATCATTTAGTTTATTTCTTCACAAGTGCCCACATTAAACAGTGTCAGTTGAGTTGTATGACATATAATTTTAAATAACTGTACAAACACCAACACAGAAAATAGACTATGTACCACATAGGCAACATACACAGTGCAAAAAATTGTCTTCCATCAATACTCTGATAATCTGTATCTTCTGTATACACCACATTTATTCAGGAATGTGTTTCAGGGACATAGGGAAGAATTCATTTAAAAGAAAAACAAGCACAGACACCCCAAAATCTTCCTGGTGATGCCTACACTGATGATACCACCTCCATGCTGCCATGAAGCACAAGAGCATGGCTGAAGGTTGTACAAGCTCTTGTCTGAGCCCAGGTGGTTCCCAGTTCACAGGGGTGGAAAAGCTGTAAATGTGTCATTTCCCATGTGCTGTTACAGACTGCTGAAGCCAGTGATGTCCTGCCAGGTATGTCCTGCTGTGTGCCATGGGGCTGCCACAGCCTGCCCTGGCCCCCTGGGAGCTGCCAGTGGCTGGTTTGGTGGGTTGGTCAAGTGTGTGGATGTGTGGCTGGGTCCCAGCTCACAGCCTGCAGGGTCCTGGTGAGCTCAGGGTCAGGGCTTTCTGCTGTCTCTCCACTGCTGTAAGGAATTCTTGTGGCTCTATTAGCTCAGTCTGCGTTAGGACAATGTGACCTAGTCCTCTGTTTCCCTTCTGGACATGCACTGAAAATGGCCCAGACACCCCTTAGCAATGACTGCACTGGAGTGCAACCCCACTCCGTGCTTGGTGCACACCACATCGTAGGGAGGCACCTTGATTATTATTTCCAGATAATGTTTTTATGCTCTGGAAGATCACAGCAAAATGTTTTCAACTGTGTCAGTGCTGATCTGAGCATTCAGCCTACCATTACTGGATGGCTCCCACCCAATGACTTGCATAAACGGCCCTGTCCCAGCCCAGGTGAGCTGATAACACTAATTTCACTGGTGCATATGGAGTGATAGATTGCCTCTCCTGCAGTGCATTTCCATATGTGGCAAAATTACACATTAATTTGCTGAATTTTTTTGAGCTCTTTGATCAAGGTTACTTTATCTCTGCTGTAACCCCTCACAAAACCCCAGCAAGGTAATTCTGGCTTGTGATTTAAACTGATGTTATCTGTGGAGCATCATGCAGCATTCTTTACAGCTGTGTACAAGCATCCTTAACAACACACTTTTTTTCTTGGAGAAATTTGGCCTTTTTTCCCCCCCCTGAAAAAGTGGTTGATGCTGCTTCTTCCACATGGTTTTAATCATGACCTGTAAGAAAAGCTTCAGAGTTAGAAAGGACATCATAGATCCTTTTAGATCTTGTTTGACCCCATAGTGACCATGTGGACTGGATGATGAGCTTTAAAACTACCTTAGAGACAGTGCTGTGAGATGAGGCTCTCAAGGACTGAAAATGAGCTAAGGGCTCTTATAGTTGCAGAAGCCCCATACCTCTATCACTGCTCTCAGCATGTGATGTGGCTAAGGTATTTTACTCAAGCTGCCAGGTTGAGCAACATCCCTTTGAAATGAAACGCCCCACTGGACCAGGATGATTAGGGAACGGATTAATAACGTTTTAATAAGTAGATGATAAATGCCCAGTTTCCCTTAATTTACTTGTGGATACACTGAAGATGTGTAGATGTTGTTTAACCAGATATTACCTTCCCAGCTAAGTTCATTGAGGCTTGCCATCCAAGAGCCAGTTTAAAGGCAGTTGGTAAGTTATGCTGTTTAGGCTTTGAGTCAGTGCTGATGTGAGAAGTAAGAAGATGAGAAATCCTGAAGGTGCAATTTTAGCTCTAGATGTGGACACCTCAGGGCATAACTGTGACAGGCTCTTTCCATACATGGTGTAAATGCACCCTCTATCTCATAGAACCGCAGACTGGTTTGGATGGGAAGGGACCCTAAAGCTCATCCAGTTCCAACACCTTCCACTAGAGCAGATTGTGCCAAGCTCCATCCAACTTGGTTTTGAGCAGCCTAACTCTGCTTTGCCACACCAGTAGAGAGATTTTTAGCTTTGCAAGGTAGCAACTGAAATGAAGTAACTCTGACCTCTGGAAAAGGGGATAAGAAGCACTGACATTCTTGCATCAGTACCTGATGCAATCAGTAGCACCTCTCCATCACAGGATGTGTTTTTGTGGGTTCCTGTGGTAGCTCATGTCCAGCCGCTGGGTGAGGGGCTGGAGCTCGGTAGTTCAGGGGTAAGAAGCAGTTTGTCTGTCTGCTACATCCACAGGGATCTGCTGCCAGGTCACTGCACACTTCCATGTACACATGCTGAAAACAACCAACCTTTGCTTTCTGCTCAGAGCATTTGCCTCCCACTTGGGATGCTGATGGTATAGCCCGATGTATTTCCTGCCTGAGTGTGGAACTGCCTAAATAGCTCTTTTCTAATAGGTTTGAGATGCAGTTTAAAGGTGAAGAACAGTTGCACCTCCTGTGCTGCATTGGTGTGGGCACACAGAGGTTGACTCTTCTAATAGTATGGGTGTGCTGCTGGGACACAGCCTTAGCCAGGCTTGACAGTGATCCACTGTGGTCACAGGGGCTATTCTCAGTAATGCACAGATTGTCCCTTTTAGTTATCACATCAGGTTTCCAGGAGGTTCCAAACCTGCAGCCACCCTCCTGTCACCTCATGCCTGGTGATCCTGCCTCCAGGAAGTAGCAGAGATCCCCCAAACCATCCCTCCGCAGGCTTCCCTGGCTTAAACAGTCTCTAGGGTTAACCAAGAGTTAGCTGCATATTAGCATGCACCCACAATCTGAGGGGGAAACAACATTGTTTCTCTCTGAATCTCCTTGTGTGAGTACTTCAGTGAATACTGCACCTTTTCCACAGTGATACCTTCTGGCTGGGAAAACCTTTTTTGTGCCTTCTACTGGAGCAAGTGTTAATAGCCGTAAGTAGCCCCAGCGATGCGGCTGTGAATGTCCACCATGTACAGAGATGTCAGAGTGTGTGTGTTAGCACCCGCCTTGGCAGGATCCCTGTTGAGTTTTGTCAGAAGCTACACTGCTTTCTCATCCCCAGTCACCGTAGATGTTCTTCTCAGGTTTTCTTTCACTTTAATGAATTCTGGTGCATGGTCTTCCTGCTTCTCCTGCTCTTTCTCCAACTGCAAGAAGGAAAAGTCACTGTTACCTGTGCATATTAAAGGACAAAAGTGCATTAGCTGCATTAACACAGTAGTCTTCATTATTGAGGGGTGTCCAGTTATTATGGCTCAAAGTTGAAGTATAGAATACATGGGTGCTCTCTTTTCCCAAACCATTATACCAGAGCCATGTTCATCCTGAATCTCTTTCTCTGGCCCACTGAAACATTAATTCGTTTTGTTTTCCTCCAGAGAGAATGTCTCCAGCAGAAAAGCAGGGGAGTGCTTCACTTCAGACCTGGTGTGGAGGAAGGAGAAGGAGGTTTGAATCCTTCCCAGCAAAGGAGGCCCTGTGAGTCTGGGAAAACCTCTCAGCATTAGGTTATTGTCTAAGTCCTTACAGTGCTTCACCTTTATATGCAAAGTCTTTATGGATCTGTCCCTAAACCACCTTTTTCATTTTCCTGGTTCTTCTCTAAGAGTACTGGGCTTTGGTTTTTCAGTCATCTTCTCTTGCCTGATGTTATTGCAAGGGAGCTGTTGTGTCATTAAATAAACTAGTTTCATCCATTTGCAGTGCAAACACCGGAAGGTAGGACAGGGAATGACTTTATTTTCAGCGGCATCAACCCTGCTTGCTGCTTGCACTGGTTTGGGTAAGAGGAGCAGGGGAATGGCTCTGCTGCTGACGAGCACCTATGCTCAATATTGCTTTTCCCAGGCATATTTTTGGCCAGGGTGCACACCAGGAGCTGCTCCCAACAGCAGCTTGGATGTGATTGCTGCAGCATTGCACCTTCCAGCGCTTCCACAGCCTTTCACCACTCACCCCAGGATCCTGAGCACCCCTTGTGATGGGTGCAGCAAAGCACACCCCAAAGACACCACGTGGGACCTGGAGGATACCCAGGGCAAGTGGTGTGTGGTGGGGGTCCTGGGTGAGGTGGTACAAGCAAGGTGAATCCCACTGTGAGGATGAAGGTGCTGCAGGATGGACTGTTTCCCCTTTTATGGAGGGGTAGCAAAGCTATACCTTGGTTTGAGCGTCAGCCCACTCATCTCCTCTGTGTTCTGTGCCTCATGCAGGGTCATTAGTTTAACCCAAGGATGGCTTGAAAACCCAGTTCTACCTGGTCCAGCCTCTGGTGCCTCTTCAATAGCTCTTTTTCAAAAGGACACTGCAATTTCTTTGCCTCTTCCTCTTCCTTCTTCTTTCTGATCAGCTGGTTTCGCCGTCGGTGCTCGAGCACCCGCTGCAGCTCTGGCTTACTCTCCATGCTCAAACCTCTGTGGATAAAAAGCAGATCAATCAGGGCAAAAGAACTAACATCCTATGGGTGTAGCCACTGACAGCCCAGAAACCCCAATGCTTTTCTCAGCCCTAAACAGAAACATCAGGGACCTGGTCCACAAATCCACCCACAGCGTTTTGAATGTTTCCCTACTGCTGGGATGGTTCCTGGGGTTGATTGCTTTGGGTGGGCAGAGAGTTTGCTGTCCTCGTATGCGGCTTGTGGTGATGGAAGTCTTGCTAATGCCATTACATTGAGCTTGCAGGGTAGGGTGTGGAAATGGGACCTTCCCTGGCCCTTGCTATTGGCAGTTTAACGGTGTCAGTGACAGATGGGGCTGCGCTGAGGGCATGTTAAATAATGACGATTTTTTTTCCACCAGCAGGGGTAGTCATTGATCTGCAGTAACTGCCGCGGCAGCTGCATTCCTCCCTTTTGCGTCCCTCCTTTGTGTCAGAGCTGAGGGCTCGCCATCCCCCTGGTGACACGGAGAGTTTGGGTCAAGAGGCCAAAATGAAACCTCCTTTCCTGTTAGAAGCCAGAGCTTTTGCGCCTGGCTCCCCTTCAGCTGCCCAAGCATCCCAGAGGAAGCGGGGCTGCTCCGAAGCATCTCAGATGGGCACGGGCTGCTCCAAGCCCTGGTCTGTGGAAGACTGGGTCACAGGGAAGAAGACATGGCAAGGACGTGCAGGCAAGGCGTAAATGCATGGTAAAGAGATAGAAGAAGTTCATTCAAAGTGGTGACTTTCTGCCCTGCTGAGCCCCAGCCACAGAAAAGCAAAACCTGAAACTGCTGGGAAGGTGAACATTTGTTGAATTCAGGGAATACTTTACTGCAACTGCAATTTCACTGAAAACCAGATTATTACAATGTGGTGAAGATTGCATTGACATATCTATCTTCTGCAACAGCAGCTGGAATGTACGTAATGGTGCAAGAAAATACAGAACTGGAAGTAATTGACTGAAGTTGTATTTTTGAGAAGAAGGTGGTGGAGACCCCAAAGCTGTTACATGCAAGGAGCAGGACCTGACCACTTTCATGGGCTGGGTTTAACACTCATTAAAATCAATGGGCTGAGAGTATTTACAAGTCCTGTTGTAAAATGTGAGGTGTTTGGTGTTCCTGTGGTGAAGGTCTGTTTTGAGGCGAGGAGGGGACTTACCCATTTCTGTGTTTAAGGGCTTGCTTTCATCCTTCCAGTGGCATGTTTAGTGATGCTTCTTACTGTAATTTGGGGTTTTTGCTTTATGACAGGATAAAGTTCATGGCAACATCAGTGAAAGTGGCCACAGCATTGACCCAAGAGGTTTCATCATGGTTTTTCAAGGCAGGAGGAACTTGGATGCTGCAGAAATGCTTTTCCCGAGGCTTAAGAGAAGGCAAACCTGCCTTGGCTTGCTGGAGACAGCTTGCAGTGTTGCCTGTGGATTTGTTACTACTCTCTGATTTAGTCAGACTGTGTTCTTAGTACCCAGAGATAAGAGTTCTGTTGCACAAGATGCTGCTTTGACTTGCTTCTCCCTTTTGCTTAAGGGGAAAAAACAATGGCAAAGCAGAAACAGAAGCAAGTCGTAGATCCTTCTCTCTCCCCTTCTGCCCTCTCTTCCTCTGTAGTAACAAGTAGCAGGAAGCAAAACTGGTGGATTTGAGAGTGACAAGAAACCAGTGATGGTGGGTTATTGTTCACAGTAGGGTTTGTTTCACATATTTGCTGAAGAATATTTTGGAGGCCAGAGCCAAAGTGGGTTTAAACTGATGTCTGAAATGTACGGGACTATAAGCAGAGGGGTCAGGAAGTGCAGGATGGCTGCAGTGGAGGTGATGGCACAGATGGATGTAACATGGTGGCAGCTACAGAACTAGAATACGCAGTGATGATGTGCTTTTTTTTGTCAGTTTCAAGTTCAGCTCAGTCTGATGCCCATGGGGTCTGTACCTCGTCTGTCACGGTTCCTCTCTGCTCTCTCCATTGCAGGGATTTTTTGATTCCACCACACTCAGACTGAAATAACTGCTCTGTGAGATCAAAGTCAGTGCTGATGGGGAAGCCTTTACCCTGAGCAGCATCACCAGGCAGGAGATGGTCACTCTCAAGCCAGAGTGTTTTAAAAATATCTGGCTGATTTAGTTACCTCTGCTTTGATGTAGGATAACAGCCTGGGTATGGGCCCTGTAATTCTTCTGATTTTGGGAAAATCAAGCCCAAGCCCAGGCAGTGCCGGTATTAGTTAATGCGCCCTGCTGCCAGGCTTGATTGTTTGCTGAGTTTAAATGTGTGTCTGGTTCTCGTGATGACTGTATCCTTTTGAAGAGGCTGTGCTTCTTTTTAGATGGCCAAAGTGCTATCATGTCACAGTGTTTCAGGGTGTTCAGAAAACGCAAAAATAAAGCCAGCAGATTTCTTGCTGTGCTTAAAAGCCTCTGAACTGAATATACTTTTATTGCACTCATGTTACAACATTTGCTGCAAAATAATGATGTGATTATAGGTTCTCAGACACAGATATAATTTTTCTGGTGTTGTATTTGTACCCCTAAAGACTTAAATTGGGTGATGGGGTAAGAGGTCAGGGAAGTGGATTCTAGTCTATCTTTACCTGTTGGATTTTTAGAGAGACAGTGATTAGCTTCCTCTTTGTACAGATTATCTCACCCTGGTGTGTTCCCTTTCAATGTCTCCATCCAACCTGCACCTCAGACTGCCTCTGAGGTGACCTTAAAGCACACAGGAATGCTGTACATTGCTGGGGACTTGGCAAATCAGTAATGGAGATAGAAAAACCAGGACCAGGGAGAAAACTTGTGGGACACCCAGAAAGTGACTGTAGGGATGCCTTGCATCTTCTGGTTCTTGAGGGATCCAGGTGGGTAGAAATAGCAAGCAGCTCCAGGGAGTCCTAGCTGGTGCTTAGGGGTGAGCAGGGGGCTTTTCATCCTGCTTTTGGTTTGAAACAAACTGTCACATCAGAGAAAAGAAGAAAGGGCTACAGCAAGTTCTACACTGTGTTTGGTTGCAAGTGGAAGGGTTTATTGGGCCCTTCCAACTCACAGCCTGTCACTGGCACTTGAGCTCTGATGGCTCAGCACCTCTCAGACCGCTCCAGCATCTCTTACCTTTTGTGGTTCATCAGCAGCTCTCTGTGCAGCTCTTGATGGCTCTTTGAGGCTTTTATAGGATTTAGGAGCTTTTTAGGTTTGATGAGGTCTGGGTTTCCATCTATGTAGTCTGGGTGAGTCAGGATATTCCCACTGTCTGGTTGCTCCCGCTGTATTTCAGTGTACATTGATGCTGGAAGAAAAGAGAGGTGTTTGCATGAGAAGTCTTGCCCTGCTATGGTGTGGGAATCCCTGGAGTTCTCCTCCCCTGGGCAAGACAAGAGAAGAGATGGTGCCTGCCCTGCTGCTTGACCCCTGTGTCAGTGTCTGCGTGCACGTGCCTCCATGTGCTGCTGAGGGTTTTTTAGAGGCTTTAAAACATATTTCCTTTGTGTTGTTGATGAGACATTTATTAATTAGATCTCTGAAATCACTTGCCAGCTGCTTGCTTTAGTGACTGTAGTGTTGAGTGCCAAGGATTAATTAATGCAAGATAGGTCTAACTAACACTTGAAACAGCCATGGATGTGGACTGTGCTGAGCTGTGGCTTTGGTCCTCCTGGCTGGGGCTGTCAGTCCCTTAGCACAAGGGGATGCTGTGGGGTTTGAGGGGCTTCCAAAACATAAGCCTGAAGAAGTGCTGCTGTGTCTGAAACCTCTTGTCAAGGAAAGGTTTTGCTGATATCCTGCTGGCCTAATAATCAGGATTGAGCCCAAGGCTAAGAAAAGCATAGTTTGCCCATGCAGTATGTGATCATGCTGTAATAATTTGTATGTTGTGGATGTAAGAACAAGAGCCCACTGTTTTGGAAGTGATGGCAACTTGTATTTCAGGCAAAGCATGGGGCACGTTCACTCTTCGTATTTTCCAAGTGCTCTATATTTCCCCTTTACAAAAACCCTTATATAAAGTGAGTGCAAAGCACAAATTATAAGAAAAACAGCATGCAGTGGGCTGTGTCTTTAAATACAGAGCACAGTGGGGTTGCCAACAGTTATTCAGTGTCTGGTCTAATCAGGGGCTCAGAAAGAGCAATTTATTCCTGACTATTCACTTGAGCAATTTGGAAGTTTACCAGTGAGAACAGAAAGTCCCAGGAAAAGGGTATAGACAGCTCCATGTCTCCAAGTGTCTTATTACAGTATTTTTAGGGGCCTAGTGTGAAGCTGTATGGGCTGGCGGAACAGCAAGGAAAACAATTGTGCAGTAATGTTGCCTCATTCTCTTACTGCAATCTCATGTATAAAAGGAATAAAGCCCTTTCTTTTAAATCAATAAAACAGAAGGCAAGAGAAAGCAGGCTAGGTTATTCTTTCATAGTCAGTAAGTACTTATCAAATGTGAAGTGGATTGCAGTCAAGCAGAATTGTGTACAGAATAATACTGCTGGAGAAATGACTCAATATCAAACAACTTCTCACTGAATGTTAATGTGGGCAGTGCCCTACTGCTTGGGGAACAAAGGAAAACAAATCAGAGCCCATTACACAAGTGTAATTGGGGTGAATAGTTCAGTACATATTTAAAGGGCACTTGGAAGCTGGAACCAGTGCTTTCTTGTATCAAATTATTTTCCTCTAGGGTCATAGATCAGTGGTGGCAGAGGGAAGCTGGTGTGGTTTGATGTTTGTTTGATGGCAAGTGCCAGGCTGACTCAAACGCCTGCAGGGCCGGACTCCACAGGTTGAAACTGGAGGCTCAGTATTGCCTTCCAGAGGGATGCAGGGACTGAAGAACAGCCAAGGGTTAAGGCAGCACAATTTCATGGTTAATTTTTGTTGGATGAAAGCCAGGCTCTGAACAATAAGAAAACATATTCTTTTTTTTTCTTCTACTTCGCTTTTTGGTCTTTTTTTATAGGAGAAGAGGCAGACAAAAGCCAAGGAAGGAAGGTACAGAAGCAAAGGTTTGTTTTGGCATGAATGAAATGAATGAGCTCCCATTTCAAATGGCAAGCAATGTCTTCATTCTTCAAACAAGAAAAGTTTCTCCATGGACTAACTTAAATAAAATGACAGGTGTTTTTAATGGAAACACTGTTTCTGGACAGCTATAGTGCCAAACTAGCCTCAGCGTCACTGTGATGTCCTGCTGCCCTTTTCCTATTGTTCCTGTCCTATCATTTAGATCAGAGCTGCCTCCAGTGAGAGAGATGCCTGCACTTGCTGTGTGCTGGGTATCAAATCCTGCTGCACATCAGAAGAGCTGGGGGGTATTGGTATTGACCCTAAATCTGCCTGTTGTGCTGTGCCAGGGGGTAATGCAGCATGCTGTGAGCAAGATACTGTAAGTGGCTGTAACTCTAGTAACTTTGGCGGCTTTCCTTCTATACAGTGTAGCTCCTGGGCCCTGCTGCTGAGATCTAATAGCTCTTGGGGCACTGGTGTAGCATGGCTACTGATAAAGTGCTGTTTTCCCCTTCCTCCATGATGTATGGGTTTCCTTTTGTAGCTCATGAGAGTCCCTTCTTCCCTACTTCCAAGACCCACATCCCAGGAGATTTGCTTGGGGCAGGCTGTCCCACATCCACAATAGGGCTAATACCCAGTAGTGTACAACGCTATTCAACTGTCATCCAACCCTTCAGGTTGGTCATGTGCTATTTCCACCCCCCAGACACACAGGATGATCAGAAGCTTCCCCCTACCACCTTTTCCCCCCACCAGCTTGGGGGATGCTCTGCTTATGCAGCATTTTGGAGGAGCACCGTGGTGAGGCTGGAGGTGTTGAATCAGTCAACATGGTTATTTACAGACTGCGGCAATCTAACCGTATTTACTGAAGGCAGATGGGGAACTTTCCCCTGAAACCAGTATAATTGAAGAAAATACTGGGAAGGAGGAAGTGGGAGGAACTGAAACTGATTGGAAGCATTTCTGGCTAGGGCTGTTAAATCAGTATGCACAAGTCCTCACAATGAGTGCAATTTGCCTGAATGATGCTGCAAGAGCCAGGACACAGCAGGTAGCTCTGAGCTTGCTTTTCACTGTGCTAGATGTGTCTAGGGGTGTGCAGACACCAACCTCGAGGGTTTGGCTCATATTGCTGCCCTGGGGACAAAGTCAAAGCCTTGACCTTGTCCCTAATAGGGACTGCAAGGAGCCTTGAACCTTGTTACAAAACCAGCATTTTAAACCTTCAAAAGACCTTAGTCTGGAACAATTCAAGGAATGCCTTCATTTTCATTGAGCAGGAAAAGAAAAATGAGAACGTAAAAGTCCTGGTGCATCTGAAACACGGCTTGGGGTCATGCTGGGAATAAGGACAGGGCATCCTTTCTGCTGCAGGTTGGCAGATAGGGACCCAGTGCAAAATGTTTGTCCTGTAGATCTATCATCTTCAAGACCTGATGTAATTCGTGTCCCTGTAAGAGCAGATAGACTGCTATCAGGCTGCTTTTTCTCATTATTTATAGTGCTGGAGGTATAAATCAAGCCAGGTCTCTGCAGTGGATTTACAGCCAGATGTATGTTCTTTCATGATTCAGCCGTAGATCAATGAACAAGGCTCTGCTTTCGCACCTCTTTGGCCACCATCATAAATCAGCAAAAGGTGTTAGATATTTTTATATTGTTCTTGGCAAGATATGAACAACAAAAAACGTGCATTTTAATACCCTCTGCTGTACTCAGAAAAACAGTGTGACCTTTTAAATACTTCTGCTTTGGAGTGTTACTTATAAAACGTAGCTGTGTTTGCTTCAGCTCACTCAGCCTTTTGCTTGCTTTTGAATATTTTCCCTTTCCTCATTTCTAAAAGCCTGAGGCTTCTAGGAAAGGTACCTCACAGGAGAGTGGCCAAAGTGACTTGTCTATAAGGAAAAAGCAAGGCTGCCTGGATGAGGAGGCCAGAGCCACTGGCAGATACATGGAGTTTTCTCTCTATTCCCAGCCTTAGCTGTGATATGAGCTCCCAGTCTTGATTAGTTTTCTAGGAGACTCCACAGGGAATATTAGTATCTTTGAGGTGTCCCAGACCAGCCACCCTCCTTCCCCAGGGTGTGGGACTGGCTGGAAGAGAAAAGTGACATTGTAGCAGCTTAGTCATTTCTGACCTAAAGCAGAGCCCAAATGCTCAGACCACCTGGAAATGCTTATAAATCCCCCACTTCCTGTGAAACTTGTGATAAAAATCTGCAGTCTGCAATCCTGGGGCAAATTGTTTACACTTCTGATTATACTCAGCTCCAATATTTTGGGGCACAGAGTATCAGGCAGGTTTGGTGCAACATTAAGTGCCTTTGAAAACCTGAATGTTCCAAATAATGCATTAAATATACCCTGCTAGGACCATAAAACACAATGGGCTGCTTGGACTGGCTCATGCCCAGGGATAGGCACCGGACACAGGTGCTTGATCACAGCCAGAGCTGAGCTATGCTTCCCTTTGCTGCTGCTGCTCTTTGGTTTACCCTGACTTGGGGGACATGCCCTTCACAGAGCATTTATTTAGGATTAAGTGATTTGTCTCTTCTTGGTGGGTTGCCCTGTGAGACCCTCTGCATCTGGACTGTGTGCCTTGTGCTGCTCCCTGCGCTGCAGCTGGCAGCCTGTTCCACCATCCTGTTGGGATGGAAATAATCCTCAGGAATGTTAAGGCGATTAACAACAGCCTTGGAAAGGGCAGGTAACCACAGGGGTCCAGCTCTGCTTACAGCTGCCTGCATGGCTCCAGCCTGTTCTTCACAAAGGGAAAATCGAAAGAGATTGAAAACAAAATTAATCCAAAGCTGTTGGGTGGAGGTCTGGGCTCCTCTCAACTTGTGACTGCTTGGGAGAATGGGGGTACAGCAGTACATCCCCTTTTTTTGCTGACACTGCTCTTTGTGTCAGCACTTCACTTTACCTGAAATCTATAAAGCAAACGTAGTTCACAGTCTTTTATTTCTGCTATCTGTGTCATTTAAGGACTGATTTTCCAACTTGAGCATCTCAGGGCAGATGATGACCAAACTGCTCTTGTTAAAATGTACTCTGTGGGCATCCCTTCCTGGGCAGAGATGGGCCTCTGTGAAGTGCCATCCACATAAAAACAGGCAGCAGGCTTTATTCTGCAAATGGGATTCAAGCTCAGAGGATATTGCACTTTGTAAATTCTGTGAAACCCTTTTAAGGTCCTGTTACTTGGTAGAACGGATGAGACTGAGCAACACCTTCAGGACACCCAGGGTCAGAGCTCTGGGTCTGGGTTTGTAAAACCACTGACTCAAGGGACTGTTTTCAGGGCAGAAATGATCACTTAAAACTGTGGCTACAGAGAAGAACCTCTGGTTTTCTGGATGCCTGGGGTTTATTCAGGAATGCGTCTCTTTTAAAGAACCAACAGATTAAGGAAGGGCTGCTGAAAGAAGCTGGTCATACACATCCTACAAGTAAAACCAACACAGCACGTGTCAGCAGAGCCGGTTTGAGCTGTTTACGAAAGGAACCTGAGCCTGGGAAATGCTGTGAGTTTCTGACACATTTAACTGCAATCATGGGGAAGCCTTCCCTTTTCTGGACTATGGCATCTGCTCCCTGGGGAGCCCTCCTTTCCCCAGGATGAGGGTTCCTGGAGGGGATCAGGAGAGGGCATGGGATCTTTAAACTAGCCTCAGCTCCTTTTAAGCACTGATACACTTCTGTTAACTAAAAGTTGAGACTGGGTTCTTTTTCATTTTAGAACATGAGCTTTCAGTCAATGCATTTTCCCTGTCTGACGTGGAGCTGAGGTTTAGTCCTGTACCTTTGCCCATGAGAGTGTAATAGCAGAAAAGGTCCTGCTGTATGTTAAGACTTACAAATAATGAAGCTGAAAGTTTGTCATTTTGGATTCTGGAATTGATGGGTTTTGCTAATTTGTGTGATTTTCCTAATGTTAATTGTAATTCAGAAACACAGAATAGCTGGGGTTGGCATCATGGGGCGGGGAAACAATTGTATGTTTGTCTCTGTGAGCCCCAAAGCTTCATGCGACCAGAGCAGCTTCTGGGTGTGCAACTGCATAGCTGGAGGATCTCCTGCTGGGAGGACAAGTGGTTTGACCTCAAACCTGGGCACTTGATTTTGGAAGCTTCTTTCTGCATGGTTGGTAGGTTGAGGGTAGAGTAAGGCACCCAGATGCCAGTTTTAGAGGGTTGGGTCATAGAATCATGGAATGGTTTGGGTCGGAAAGGACCTCAAATCTCATCCAGTTCCAGCCCCCTGCCATGGGTAGGGACACCTTCCACTAGAGCAGGTTGCTCCAAGCCCCGTCCAACCTGGCCTTAAATGATGACCCTTAAATGATGCTCTGTGAGGGGAGGCTCGCAGGTCCTGGAAGCCTGGGTGAGTGACTGGTGAGTCCCCACAGCCAAACCTGCAAAACACACTCTACTGCCCCAAGTAATCCATGTGTGGCTGATACACAGTCAAACCCAGAACAAAATATCTGCCATTCCTTCACATTAGCTTAATGACTGCTGTGGCTTAATGCTGTGATGATGATGTTAACAACTTGATGCTGTTGTTGATGATGATATTATTGTTGACAATAATATTATGTTGATATATGTTGATAATATTATTATTAATAGTAATATGGTGAACTCAAAGACTGGCAGATGCTAATCGTTACCTTCCCTGGGTGAGATGTACCAGCTCCCATCCTCACTGTGATTTTCCTCTCTTGTTCCTGCTGTGCCAGCAGCTCAGGAGTGTCTCTTACTGATGGACCTGGCATGTTCCCCCTTGCTTGTCACCAGGCGACTATATCACAAATAAATGATACGTGTGCTCTGGAAAGGAGGCAAAGAGCCTTTGTCTGCTTCTAATGTATACTTTTAAATAATTAAGCAAGGCTAATTCTGGTAGTTATAATGCAATAGGATGAACGTAACTTGATGTGGCTGCCGTGGGAAGCAGTTCCCAGCTATCAATAGGCTGTCTCGGGGCAGCAGGCATGCACACCCTTGCTCCCCTTCACTCAGCCCTGGCATTCAGGGATAACCCCCATGAGGTCAAGGGGTCAGAAAGGGAAAGATCCCTAATGGAGATGTGGAATGAGGCAAGGAGACACAACCTTGAAGCTCCCAGCACTGCTGTCACACGTCACCACTATTCCTGCTTTACCTCCCTCATGAGCACATGCTGGGGATGGGGCTACCCACCAGTACAGCAGTGCTCTCCCACCAGTATAACCAGTCTGCTCAGTCCAGCCAGTGCCCCCAGTCCTGCCCACCCTTGCCAAGTACCATGCCAGCCTAGGGGGCACACAGAGCAGGCACTGCGCTCAGCCTGGACTGCTCATACACCACCTTCCACCATCACCCCAAAATGCAAAGGATCCCGGGTGTCACTGTGGTCACCCACTGAGCTTTGCACTCACACACGTGTGTTTGAAGGAGAGGAATCCAGGCAGGCCTGGGGCTAGCTGAACTCACTGCTTTGCAGAGGTTACTGGTTCCCTCTTTTGGGTTGGGTAACGCTGGAAGCACTTGTACAGTCAGGCAGCAGCAAGCTCCCCTCTGCCTGCAGGCAGGCAGGATTGGGTGTGCTGGTTAATCATTTTGTTTAATTACCTTGGACTGTGATAAGGAAAGATAACAGGGCTGGGATCCCACTCTGTTAGCAATCACCAAGGGATGTCAGTCCCATGCCTTTTGCAAGCAGCAAGTTTAGTTTTGTTAAGCAGTGACAGATGCCTAGCAGTCTTTCTTCATAATCACAAACTTACTTTTAATATCTCACCAAAATTTGCCCTGCACATTTGCCTGCCTATGATAGAGACATGCATCAATCATTAATGAATGTTTTAAGGTAGCTCAAAGGTATTTTGTGGAATGCAGAGAAAATCCTCCCACACTGAGTTGCAGGGATTGTATTAGCAAGTGCCCCCTGCCCAGCCCGATGACTCTCCAAGAAGGTTTGAATTGCAGCTAAGGGAATTCCTGTGGGATACAGGTCCATTTTGAAAGGCAGAACCAGGAGGGCAGCTTCTCAGCCAGCGACTGAAGTATTAAAGTAACACAGTATCACAAATAATATTTAAACCAGGGTTCAAAGTCACTGCGTTCAACCATGTGTGCAGCAAAGACTAATCCCATGGGGGCTTCCTACAATGGGAAGTCAGCAGAGAAGCAGGGACCCCCTGGCACAGCTCAGGGGTGCTCGGCGCTTACCTGATTTCCGCAGTGTGGCCTTGGAGAGCCCGGGGGGCAAGTGTTGCCCCATGCCCCATGACATGGCTCTGCTCCTGCCCAGCTGCACTCACACCTGTGGGGCTGATGGCCAGGTCCGATGGAGCTGCCCGGTCTCTCCAGTGGGAGCCGGGATGGAGGCACGTGGAGGTGGCTGCTGCACTGGTGCTCCCTCCCCGCCGCTGTCACCACCTCACAGGGACCACGCTGAGGGCTGGAGTCTGGCCGGCAGCAACTGGTGCCCCCTCTCTCTGCCACCCTCCAAACTTGCTCCCTTTGCTCCTCGTTGCCAGGCGATGTTTTCCCGGGATGGATGAACAAGGTAATAGTTCCCCCTCCACCCGTGCATGCCCAGCACTGCTGCTGGTGCAGAGGTTGTGTCTGTGCTCCACGGAGGACGGTTCCTCCTAAGTGCGCCTTCACCACGCTCCCAGAGAAATCAGATCACCCCAGAGGAAGCTGCACGCCCACTCTCTTTAGCAACCACTGCAACAACCAAGCCTGGCACCGGGGCAACCGCTCCAGTTATCGTGATCATTCCCTGGTGTGTTGCAACACCCTGTCATCTACCAACTGCTGCAGATCCAGGGGGAGCAGTGGCTGCACCCCATGGGGAAGGTGATGCAGGGGGAGCAGCAGCCCCGAGTGGGGTTACGGGCATCCTGGTGGCACCAGAGCTGAGTGATGCTGCTGCATCACTCTGCCAGATTTTACCCTGCTGAGATGCAGCTGCTGCCTGGATTGGGCATCTTGTCCTCATCCCTGCTGTGGCTGGAGGTATCATGCTTACTGTCCCTGAATTGCCATGGCCTGTGAAACCAGAGGCTGCAAAGCTGGTGGAGGAGAAGGAGTTAAACCACCCCAGCAGCTCCTTTTGGCTCTTAGGTGGGAGCTGCAGCCCAGTTCTGCCCAGGTCACCCTGTGCCAGCCTGCAGATGACCAGTGTTTTGGCCTCTGGAGGTGGGCAGGGATGGGATGAAACCATTTCCACTGAGAGGAAAAGGATAAGGGAAGCTGGGGGCACTGCCATAGTACCCAGCCACATTCACATGCTGCAGCACCCATGGGTGCACGCACTATCACAACCATGTCCTGGCCTGATGCTTCCAGCCCTGTGAAGATCTGGAGAATGAGTGCAGGCTGCCACAGGTCGGGGGGGTGCTTATTCACTTATTTTCACCTCTCCACATTTTGCTCCTCTCCACATCCCAGCATTTTCCCTCTCACCAGCTGTGTTTTCCAGCCAAGGACTCAGCAGTGCCAGGTGTGAAGAGAAGCCCCAGCCTCTCCCAACTCTCCTTGCAAAGCCCTCCATGGGGCAGCCAGGGCTGATGGCACTCACCTGAGCCACCGCTTCTGGGCTTCCTGCTCACACTTGGACACTTAGGCTGAAGGGAGTATTCTTTCTGGAAGAAAAGACAAGAAAGAAATGGGAAAGGACTGTGCAGGTATTGCTCTGTTACAGCAGATGAAATGCAGGAGGACTTGCTGGTCATTTCCTATCGGAGACTTTGAAAAATTATAATTATTTTTAATTTCCTGACCAGGAGCTGTTAAATTTAATTGCCTCAGATGCAGGAGATGAGAGGCAGGCTGGTTTGCATTCCCCAGTGTGTGTGGTGTGTGCCTGCATGTGCTTGCACAAGCACGGTCAGCCCAATCCAACCACCCGTGGGATAGATACAGGCAGGGTTTTGAAGATCTCACACAGCTTTTGCCCCTAGATCAAGGATGTGGTGGAGGAGAGGGCTTGAAGTGGGGAGGCTGTGCAGTTTGGCTCCTCAAACTGCAACCTGCCTCGCAGCCCATTTTTGTGGCTGTGCAGATTCTGCTCACGTTACCCATTGCAAACTCAAAAAAAAAAAACCCGACTCAATCTAGAACTGAAAAAGATGGATGTACATCCATACTGCTTCCCTGGGACTGCCTTTAAACAAGCTAAAGCTCAAAACCTGGTGTTGTGAGTTTACTGAAGGCTTGTTGAAGGGGGGAAAAGAGCATCAATTTGAACATGCTTTGAGCTCCTGAGTGTGGTTATGGCTGGTAGATGTGGGAGTGGAAAAGGGCTGTGATCCATCAACAGCTGCTGTCAACTGAGTCAAATACATTGGAAAAAAGCCAGCTAAATTTTATGGACATGTTTCTGTCTGACACACCCTAGTGCCTGACTTGCTGCACATCTGGGCTCCTCTCTGCAAGGAAGTGGGTTTGTGGTGTGCTTACGTCCTCCTGCCTTGGAGGACTTTTCATGGCAAAGCTGTTTTTCTAGGAGCTCCTTGCACAGCAATTCTCTTTGCTATGTGAATCGGTAAGCAATTTCACCCTGTGCTTCTGAATCTTTGGGGTCAACAAAAAGCCTTTCTATTCCCCCTGTAGCTCCCTGAAGGTTATTGCGTGGAGACAGTTGATTGCTCGATGATATTTATCTGGAGTGGCTCCTGCAGACAAGGAGTTGCACCATTCACTGCCCCCGTGTTTCTTATGCAGTGGCTTCATGTCCCAGGAGAAGGTGACATGGAGAGCTCATTCCAGCATCACTCATTGCATCTGCTGGGCCCGGCATGTCCCTGTGTTGCTGTGAATGTGGCAGGGGTTTTTCAGGTAGGGTCTTGTTTGGAGGTATCAACCCCAGAAGAGTGATCCCAGGGGAGTCCCAGTGCCAGGAGCTGGCAGTATCATAGAACCCCAGACTGGCTTGTCTTGGAAGGGACTTTAAAGCTCATCCAGTTCCAACCCCCTGCCATGGGCAGGGACCCCTTCCACTAGAGCAGGTTGCTCCAAGCCCTGTCCAACCTGGCCTTGAACACTGCCAGGGATGGGGCAGCCACAGCTTCTCTGGGCACCCTGTGCCAGTGCCTCAGCACCCTCACAGGGAAGAGCTTCTGCCTAAGGGCTCATTTCAATCTCCTTCTGCCCAGTTAAAGCTATTCATCCTTGTCCTATGAGCTGGGCAGCTCTGACACAGCTCTGGAACAGCTCCAGCACAGCTCTCTGATACGTGTAGCTATAGAGGACCCATTTCTTGGGACTTTATCCTGCTTGAGGAAGGGATGTGTTTTTTCATCTAATGTCATGTAAAGATAAAATAACATTCATTGTGCTGAATGTGGACCTGAAGTGTCACTGATGGGTGGCTGTATAGTTAATTAAGAAATTCTGGGGTAAGGAAGATGGCTCTGGAGGAGCCCACAGCCAGCTCCTCATTACTGGGGCTGTACATTAGATTGACTTTTAGCTGCTGGGTTACTTTGCTGGTGATGTTTGCTGCTGCCTGTCACTTCTCCAGCCAATTGTTGTGGCACCAAGAGTTTTCTTGTATAGACATACCTCCTGTGTATTTAAAACCCCAGGCGTGCCAAGTGAGTACCCAACACAAACACCTGCTTTCCCATGGTTGTGTAATGCAGCCAGACTACGTGAAGGCACTGACAGTGAGATAAAGCTGCTGCCAACTTGGGATTGTTGTCCACCCAAAGTGCTGAGGAGCCTGGATGCAAGCTGTGAATTACAGAGCAGATACCCCTGCCTGGCCCTGCCTGCCTGTACCTTTATTAAATCTCCACTGTCAGCACAGGGTGGGGCGTGCAGCATCGCTGACAGTCATGTCCAGGCTCCTGATCCACAGGCAAAATGCTGGCCCCACTGAAGTCACCCAGGGCTGGGATTTGAAGGCAGACAGGGCTTCACCTCTTGCTTCAGGGAGGTCCTGGAGGCTGGTTACACATTTCCCCTGCTGGGTTAATGTTAGATGCTGGCTGAGGCACCACTTGTGGTGATGGGGACTGGGCAGCCCAGCCTGCCCTCCCACCCTTTGTGGCCCCAAGCATAAACTTCATGCAAGTTCCTTCAGTTATTCTGGTTGCACTGTGGTGATGACCTTGGTGGTGGCAAAGCCAAGGGCAGGGGACGTGTAGGCTGGTCAGAGCTCTGCCTGGTCCCTGATACCCCATCACCTCTGTGGCATGAGGTGGCAGGAAACACACTTCTGCTAATCTCCACTCGAGCCATTATTGTGTTTGCAGAGCAGAACGGCTTCTTGCTCCTCCCCAGCTCACCGGGGGCAGTTAATGATTGCCCAGATGATAGAGACTTTTGCCTGCTCTCCATGGGACAAAGTGGGTTATGGAACTCTGTCCTTGACAGCTGGGGAGTGGAATGGAATCAGAGGACTTTGTCTGTCACGGACGGGGAGGGTGTATTGCAGTAAATGGGTTAAAAATGTCTGTTATTTCCCAAACCTTCCTATTTCCATGTGAAAAACACTTCTGTGTACAGTGTGACTGCATCTAGGAGTAAAAAGTAGTAATAAAATCTATCATTGGATGGTAACACTACACCCCTCTGCCAGTGAGCAGGACAGATCCAGGCATCCTGAAGGATGAAGGAGGAACTGCCCCAAGTCTGCCTGGTGCTTCCATCAGTGCCAGCAGCAACCATGCCAGGGAATTTCTTCAGCAGCAGAGGAAGGATCCTGGAGACACTGCCTATGGGCATAGTTACCGCTTCCAACTTGCAGACCAGCTCGTCCTGGGATCCCCAGCCTGCTTTGACCATGTCAGTAAGGGCACCCAGCACATGAGCTGGAATTAGTGGGGTTAAATGCAACAAAGCAACATGAAGTATAAATAGTGGGTAGTTTCATATTGTAGTTTTACTATTCTATGTTACTCCCAAACATCCTGGGCATCATTATATCCCAGCAGGACCGTTCCTGGCCCTGACTCCATTGAACAAAGAGATCCAAATGTCTGGAGGCAGTTTTGCTTTGTACCACCAGCTCTTAGCAGGTATCCTCCTCCATAGTTTCCCACTTGGAGAGTGCAATGCTCCTACTGCAGCTTAAAGCTAGCCTCCATGTACAAGCCATTCATCAGTGTTATTTCTCCTGCATGTGGGTGCCCTAATATTTACTTGTAGCAGAATTGATGGCTGGCAATTTTGGACCATGTTTGTGCTTTGATGAAAGCAGTTAGGGAGATTAGCTGTCAGCATGGTCGGACCATGAGCCACGGCAAGGGCGACAAGGATGGTTTCAGGCAGGTTCAGATCAGTGCAGGTGCCATTATGGTGTAGTATCATAGCATCTATATTGCACTGTAACTGAAGTCTGAGATAATAAATTAGGCAAGAAATTGCTGCAATCACATTACAGTGATAAAGAGGTATTAAAGTGGACAAAATGACACCCAGCCTGAGAACGGATGTGGAACAGACTTGGTTTTGGGAGGGAGGCACAATTAGCAGGGCTGGAAGCTGCCCAACGTATCTGGGAGCTGATGGGCTCAGAGAAAGGTACTTTGTCCATAAGGTGCTGTAGCAGCTGCTGACATGGATATTCAATAAATGAACACATCAGTTGATTAAAATAGTCTTACTGCTTTAACCTGGAGGCTTTGAAAGAAGTTCAAACTGGAACAAGGCATTGATGGTTGGCAGATCAAAGCCAGCATTTCTGTGTGTGAAGAACCCACAAAACATGTGATTTAGAAGTTAGTCAAATTGAACTCTACCACTGCTTACAATTAGCCCCAAATACCCTTTTGCTGCTCCTGGTGCTCTGTATGAAAACACCTCTTACATGCTCCAGGATGCTGAGATACTGTCTAAAGTGTTGCCCAAATCTCCTGCGTTTTTGCTGAATTCTGGTCTATCTGTGCTCATCTGCAGCAGCTGGCACTGATCCAGAGACCTCAATGAAATCATCCGCTGGAAGAGACTTTTGAGGATTAGTGAGACTTTTTCCCATCTGTGATGTCAGTGCACAAAAATCTGTCAGCTCGATTGTTCTGCTGCAAAGTCTTCCCATGTATGGTGTTGAGGCTTATTGGATTCAACAAGCTGGTGCATGTTTGCTGAGATGATACCACTTTCTTGTTAAAGAGAGAAAGCCAGCAGCATGCCCCACTGCCTAACAGCACTGCTAATTCCCCACTGGCCTTGGCTGGAGGAAGTACTGCAGTTTGGATGACGTTCCATAATATCTTGAGGGCTGTAAAAGGCAGTATAACACCCTCCTCCCTCCAGAGCTGGCTCTGCCTTCCCCGTGGTGGTCATGATGCAGCTGTTATAGGGACTGTTGTGAGAAACTGGGGGTTCCTCTCTCTTGTAGAGGCAGAGCAATGGGTTTGGGAGGGTTACTCCCTGGCAGAGAGCTCGACTGTGCACATTCCTCTGCTCCCAGCTCATTATGGGACATTATTTTGGCAGGTTTTGCGATCAGGACTGGCAGGCACTCAGGAGTCAGTGTCCAGGCATATCCTGGTGCTCCCAAGCCAGCAACTATGAAATCTTCTGTCATGGTGCTGCCTGTGTCATGGGAAGGGTTCTGAATGGGGTTTCGGAAACATCACAGCATCCAGAGCTTGCTCCATTCTCCAGATGAGCGCAATCACTCCCTGGCCACCTTGTCCATCCCTCCATGGACACTTTCCCCAGGGTGAGTAGGTTTTCAATTGAAGCTGTCATCTTTTATTACTCCTGATCCCTGGCCACAGCCATAGCTGGTTTCACTATCATATTGCAAAGGACTTTATGAAATATCAAGTTATTGGTGTTACATTTCATTACCACTCTTCTGAACTCTACAATCCTGTAGCACTTCTTGGGCTAAAGCAGAGCTGAGGCTGGATGCTCTCTCAAGGGTGACCAACAGCCTTGGTCTGACAGCATCAATTAGTAAATTTAGGCTTTCAGACCTAGACCAGGCTCTCTGTTGATCTGGATCCGGGACGAGGCTCACATTACTGCAGCTCTATGCAAGCAGCAGGCAGGTGGCTACTTTGCTGCCTAGTCGAGTGGAAAATTGCAAATGATCCCAGTAGCACTTGGTGTTATTTTATTCATAAAGAAAACACAATCTGACACAGACGAGCACTGCGCTGACCTCTGCCTGTCTTTGTCACCAATGCCATTCCCCTCCCAGATCCTTGCAACAGGGCTGGCACAGCCCTCCCGTGGCCATGAACACTGGAAAATTGAGTCTGGGTTCACACAGGCTGCCCAGAACAAAGTGCAAAGACCAGCTAAAGCAGGGGAGCAGCAGGATGGGAAGGGGCGCTCGCTGGAGCTGTCAACTCCGAGGCAGGGAGCCCCACTGAAGCTGCTCTCTGGCTGCAAGGGGATGACCTGTGGTTAGGGAGATGGAGCACAATGCACCAGACCTCAGTCAAAAACTTGCTGCAGATTAATGACAGGAATCAGTGTCAGGGCTCAGCCCCATGGCAGCTGGTGTGCAAGGCTCATTTGTCAGCATTCAAGCTGACTCTGAAGCCTGACATCCCACTGTGAAGGGCATGCTTCTTGGCAGCTCTGCAGCACAGACTGGAGCAGTGCATCCATCCGTCCATCAGCATCAGGTGCCGATGGACCTGCTGTTCTCCCTTGATCCTAAAGAAATCCTCTCCTGCAGTTCAGTGCTTTTTAATCCAGTCCTTAGCAATGTGCAGAGCACATAATGCTGCTTCATGCCAGGACAAAGCCAAATTCTCACCCTCCTTATCTGCATCGCCCACTTCAATGTTGTTAGCAATAGTTAAGCTGTTGCTATTTACAGCAACTTTACCTGTCTCAGGAGCTTATATTTTGCTCTGTGCTGGAGTTGTGGTACCACTGGTAATGTGAAAGACTACTCCACTGCTCCTGGGGATGCTTCTGACTACATAGGAAGCACATCGCTCATTGGCACAAAAGCACTTCAGCAGTTTTGGAGCAAATTGCTGTCATGCTGCAGAAGGACCATTAAGACACTCTAAAGTGCCTTGAAGAATGGTATTTTGCAAAAGTGAGGCTAATGCCACATGACTTATGGGGACAGTATTTGTTTCTGGCAGTGTGCCACACTGTCCTATAGCTGCCAGGCTGCACTGGCATCATTACTCCATTTCAAAACTAGGGCCTACATCAGGGGCCAAGGATAGTTTTGCATCCGAAATATGCTCTTCTGACAACAACCTTGTTGTGCTCTTTATCTGCCCAGGGTCCCTAGGATTGGTCCTTAGCTTGCAAAAATGAGGTTTAGGGCAGAAATTCCCTAGGCACCTCTGGTAGCAGCTGGAAAGGCAAAGTGGGGTGGTCTATTCCCTGCACCCGGCAGCAAGCTGGGTCCTGGAGCAGACCTCAAAGGGAAGAGGCCAAAAGGCAGGAGGTTTGGCTGTTACCTGGGCTGAGATGATACCTGCCAGGCTGCCCGCCGCCACAGGCTGCTAAGGGAGGAGGCGATGGAGGAAGAGGTGAGGCATGCCTGTTAGCTCAGGGTTCATGAAGAGGCAGCAGGCGCAACTTGAACAAGCCCCCCAAGAGAGGAGCAAAGCAGCGAAGCCTTTAATTGCTTTCACCCGTTTTTATTTGAGGGCTGCTGAGCCTTCCCAGACCTGGGAGCTGCTGCATTTCCTACGCAGTGATCTTCCCTTTAGCACATTGTGCAGCTCCCTTCAGTCTGAGCACTCTTCCATGGCTCATTTGAAGCCATGCAGGCAGCACTGGCTGGTACTGGCCAGCCTCTGCCCGTCCTCTGGAGGGGCTGGCAGCATCTATATCCTGCCCAGCACCTTCAGCATGGATCAAACCCCTGTATCACAGCTTCCCATGCACAGACTGGTGTGATGTGCTCCATCACCTTACTGCCTACATGTACTGTGCTTATGTGCACACCCCTGTGCTCCTTCAGGGCAAAATCAGCTCTCTAGAGAGTCAGTACAGGTATTGTGGCACTTGGTTTTGCACCATGATGAAGGATGCAGTATACAAACTGCTGATCTAGTGCAGCTGCAGAAGCAGCAGTGTGGAAACACAGAGCCTTAAACTGGAGCAGCTGTGTCCAAATTAGTTCCTGCCTGCACTGAGTCCATATAAGCCCTCTTGGGACCAGAGCATTAGTTCCTTTGGAGGTAGGGAGTGGGTTACAGTAGGTGCTGGAGCTGTTTCACCTGTGCTGAGACTTGGGATAAAGAGGTAAGACATAAAACTGTGATCTATTTCCAGGAGCTAGAGCAACCTACTGTAATGAGATGCTGCAGCATTTTACTTTCTTTGAAAACTACAAAAGTCTGGAGCAACGTCTCTCTTTAATCAGAGTTCCTAGATGTCACCAGCTGTGTGACTTTAAAGGGTTGAAGAAGAGGCAAGATAATTTTGCCTTGGAGGACTTCTGTGGAGTTTTTGGGACCAGTTCTGCCCCAGCTCTTCCATGCTAGGCTGTGTTGTGTCAGACAGATGAGAAAACTTACAAGTGTTTGCTGTCTTGTGAGCCTGAATTGTTGTTTTCAGGGCATGTTATTTTTTTCTCAGAAATGTTTTTTTTGTCAGTGATCTCCCCACTCTCATGAAGCACTTAAGGGGGGTTTCCTGTTGTGTAAAGTCATCACCTCTCATTTCTGTTCCTCTGAACCAAACCTTGGTGCAGGCAAACCCTTCTCCTTGAGCATTGTGATGTTCCAGGACACTGAATCATTCTGGTTCTCAATTAGCATCTGAGTTCTGGCTTTGCTCCTGGGGCCAGTGCCACCGAACAATTGGAGGCATTCGGTGGGACTTGTTCTGCTTATGGGTCTTGGCATTTGTGGCCCCTCTTGCTGAAAGCAGAGTGGCAGCCCTGGCCAGCAAGGGGGAATGGCTGCTGCTCCTGCAGCAGAACAGGCAGGGTCCCTTCAAGGGCCCTTGTGCAGCCTGGGCACAGGAATGCCTTGAAAGAACTGGCAGGGTGTTGTGGTTTAAACTCAGCCACGCAGTCTGTGTGTCATCCGTCCCTCCGTTCCCCCCCCCCCAGGGATGGGGAGGAGAATAGAAGGAATGTAACTCCCATGGGTTGAGATAAGAGCAGTCCAGTAACTAAGGTATAACACCAATCATTGCTGCTGCCACCAATAATAATAATGATAAGGGGAAATAACAAGGGAAGAGAATACAACCGCTCACCACCCACCAACCGATACCCAGCCTGACCAAGAAGTGATCTAGCCCTTCCAGGTAACTGCCTCCAGTTTACATCCTGGGCACGACGTGCTGTGGTATGGAATACCTCTTTGGCTAGTTTGAGTCAGGTGTCCTGTCTCTGCTTCCTCCTGGCTTCCCCTCCTCCCTAGCAGAGCATGAGACTCACAAAGTTCTTGGTCAGGGTAAACATTACTGAGCAGCAACTAAAACCAGCCTGTAATATCCCCTCCCATGTAAGAGGGGCTGCTGGACCATGGAGCCTCTCCTGGGTATCACAAGCTGCTGTGTTACATGCATCTTTGTCTTTCCATGGTCCACCCCTTCTGGGAGCAATCTGGGACTTACTCCTCATTTAATTTTTGAAGCAATTTCAATTCCAGCTGCTGCTCATGCCAGTAGCTAAAGGGAAGATGCTGGTGATGACAGGTCCTGGGGCTGCCTCCTTTGGCTTTGTGTGATCGGTGTTCCTGTATCAGGACAGCCACTGTGCTGGTCCCTTTATGGCAGGTTTTTCCCTGTGCTGTGCTGCAAGGCATGAAACAGCCCTTTTCTTTCTCATTATAAACTTTTCCTTTGCCAGGAACAGACACAGCTCCTCTTGTTTTGCCTTACTTGTTCCTGTGCTTTCCAAAACGAGGGCCCAGGGCTTTTGTAGTTGGGATAAGAGCTTCTAAGCTCATGAATGTTAAGAAACAACTTTTTGGTCAGTTTGGATCTTTCATTTAATAATGTATGTTTTTAAAAATTTTCCTTTAAATGTTGTCTCAGCATTTTGGAGCTCTGGTCTCTGCATGTATCTGGTGCTGGGGTGATGCCAAGCAGGATGTATTGGAGCTGAGCTGTCAAGGTTAGTTCCATGAAAGGGGTGTGTGCTTTTGGGTATTCACCTGTGTGGGGGCCTGGGGAAGGGAATCCCTTGCTCAGCATTAAGTGATGCTGGGAAAACACAACTGCTGCTTCCTGCCTCATTCAGGATGGGTGGAAAACCCTAAAAAACACAACTTTCATCTCTTATTCTCTCCCTGCCCTGTAACAGCAGCAGGCAGATGCCTTTTTAAGATTGAGACCCTTCTCCTGACAGACAAAATTGAAGTCAGACAGAAGTCTGACTTCTACAGAGATGCTAAATAGAAACATTACCCTACTATTACACATAGCAGAGCTGCTGAAAAGGCAATAGCAGCACTTATTTACCTATTTGAGAGCCTCTCCCTACTAATGAGGGGTAGAGCAAAATAATTAGTCCCCTTCTCACCCTTTTGCATTTTTTTTTTTTTTTTTAGCTTTGCTTTTTATTCTGGCACAGAAGTGTTTGTTTTTGCAACCTTCACCTCCCTTACTGTGTGAATAACATGAGATCGCTGGTAATAAAACTGTGAAGTGCAGTTAAGTGTGTTTGTGGAGCAACTTGGCAGAAGTCAAAGCTGGTCTGAAGTGGGACTGTGGCCTGGACCAGCCATGCTGGGTGGCTGAGGGACATGGTGTGTGTCCTGAGCCACCCGCCTTGTACCCTGAAGAGAAAGGTTAATGAAAGACCAGGTGAAAGCATGTCTCTGGCAAGGCCATGGGGATAACCCTTGCCAAGGGTGAGGTTTGTTTGTGAGGAAATCCCACCAGCAGCTCTCAGAAATGCTGGTCCTGTCCTGTGATGCTCAGATGAAGAATTCTAAAGGATGCTCTCCAAAGCCCCAGTTCTCAGCATGGGCAGCCAGGTACTGTGGTTTGTCTGAACAAATAGAGCCTCTCTCCCTGGCACTGGCATGCTGCCTCTTGTTGTAAACCACTTGCAGAGCAAAGCTCCCTGCTCAGTGGCAAGGCTAATCTCAGCTCATCTGACTTTACTGTAAACTGACATGCTTGGGAATTTGGAGACAGTGAACTTTCCCTGGGGAAACAGCCACTGTGCAAACCCTGCCGTGAGGAACTAGGGAGGAAATCAGTGGAGAGGTGCCAGTGTCTGGAGACAACCCCCTTGCAACTTGCCTGGGTGTCTGGGAGCACTTGCAGAGTGGTTTGCTGTGGTTAGAGGATGTTAACCAGGATTCCTGTGCCCAGTGGGACTGGTCCTCTGCAGAGCAGAGGAATCGGCATCATCTCTGCAGCATCCCTGAACCAGTCCCTATCATAGTCCTTGCCTTGAAGCAAAGGGTACCCCTGCAGGGGACTATCTTGCTGGAGCCCTGATATTGGCTTGGACTCGCAAGGCAGTGGTGATACCCGAACAGGTTGTTTGGGAACAGCTGCAGCCTTTGAAAGTAGAAACTCCTTGGAGCCATGCTGGCAGGCTTTCTGGTCCCTTTTGTTGTGGAGCTGGGAATCGCCTTGTGTTCCACAATCCACTACTGTAATCCTCTTGGAGTGCTGTTCTGGTATAAACTTAAAAGGGGTCCAGCTGAGACTGCTAATGCAAGCAGTACTGGCAAGGGGTGCGAAGCCTTCCTCCTGCTCTGTGCTCCCATGTGGGTCCTCTAGGATGTAGCTGGTGCATGGGGTCATGCCTGGCAGTTCCCTATGCCCTGAGCCACGTTGGTTCTGCAAGGTCTGGGGAAAGAAAGCTTTCCTGCCTGTCACCTGGACCTGACCTGGTCCTTGGGAAGGGCTGGAGGCTGCTGTGCATGCCCACCATGGAAATGCAGCAGAAGGAGTTGTCTTGTTTCCATCCCTCATTAGCTTCAGCCTAAGGATAAAGCACTGACTGGTGCTGCCAGTCAGACATCCCTGCTCCGAGCCAGCTGGGTGGTAGCACAGGCTTTTGTTGACCCAGAAAACATTTGGTAGGCTGAAATTGGGGCAAAATCTCTGGCTTTCTGATGCCCATAGAAGTAAAATTGTTTGGGTGCTTTCTGGAGCTGCCAGCAAGCTGGTGCAATGGGAGAGACCGAGCTTCTGGGAGTGTTTCAATGCCAGGCCATTCAGTGCTGGGCTGTGATGGGATCATGGTGTTTCAGAAAGAGGGAGCAGTGGGGAAAGCTGTCCAAGAGCCATCTGTTCTGGGGGTCAGGGTGCTGACATAGATGGTTTTGTATGCAGCAGGGCTGAACTGGGTGGCACTGAGACAACCCTGACCTAACCAGCTTATTCCTTGCTTTCAGTAATGCCTGTACAAATGTGCTGAGTCCTGAAGGTCATGGCCACGTGAGCAAAGGTCTGGGATTACATATGGGCAGAGTGTGGCTCCTCCTTGGTGTGCTGCTGTAGCCCTGAGCAACAGGAACAACTGTGGTTCCCTGTGTGCTGGATCCAGTGCAGCATCGGCATCTCGAATGGGTGCAGAAGAAGCCAGGGACTGGCTGGGAGCAGCACCTCCTGTACCTGGCACTTTTCTGAGGTCCAGGAGAATAGATAAATGTTTACTAGTCCCACATCAGTCCTGTTTTCCTTCTGAGAGTTGTTAACACCTGCCAGTGGGTTGCTTTTCTGAGTGTTTCACCTGAGGCAGTGTCTAGCTCTGGTTTTGGGAGAAAGCCCAGCAGGTCTGCAAGCTTCCAAAAGGCCTGGATGTGCCCATGGCTCTGAAGGCCACAGACCATGCTCAGCTGAGCTTGTAAGGTCCCTCCTGGGGCAAAGGGTCACTGCTGTCCTTGTTGCAGTAGAAGCTAATGACCTAGTATGGTGCATGAGTATGTTTCTCTTTAAACTGTGAGACAAGCTACAGAAGTCTAATACTGGATCAGGGCATCACAGCTGGAGAGTGATGATGCATCTCTAGCACTGATGTCATCAGATGTGAAAGCAATCCTCAGCACAGCCATCTCTAGCTGCCTCAGCGTGGCTCTGACTCCATAAAGCCCCGTTTCCTTTCAGAGCTGTTTGACTGCTCTTCCTGGGGGATTTGGAGGAGAGGAAGATGCTCATGGGTGCTGTGTGAACCAGCCCCTCCCTGTCCCAGGAGGGAGATGGTGGCAATCATGGCCAAGAAATACTTGGTGCTCACTCTGCACTGCATCTGTGGGAGACAGCCTGCAGGCTGCTGGATGTGCTCAGGGCAAGCCTGTTATTCCTTCCCAGAAAGCCAAACTTTCCCTGTCCCAATGCAGTGCCCTGATCCCCTCTTTGTTGTCCTGAGACCCCTGATGCTCATCAGGTGCAATTGCTTAATGCAGCCCCGATGAGTGACACCCACACCCAGCAGCGGGTCCTTTCCCTCTAATTCTTCACTGTATTCAGCTGCCTTACTGGTAAAACAAGCATCATGTGAGCAGGTGGTGCTGTCTCCATCATCCCGCCACTGCTCCAACATCCCTGAATAGAACTGCCCCGTTACCTTCTTCCCATGAGCTGTCCCCATGGTCCGACGTGTCAGCTGTGCTCTGTTCCCCTGGGGTGCAGGGCACCCAGCTCTCTGTGATCGCTGGCCCCTGTTATTCCTGTGGGAATGCGTGGCTGTGCAGCTCCCGGCTCCTCAGTGCTTGCTGTGGAGAGACACGGGTGAAATCCAGCCTCTCTGCAGTGGGGTCGAGTGGGAAAGCTTGCTTTTCCTCCCTTCTCCCAGCACGTGGAGAACTCATTTTCTTCATGCACCTAATGGCTGGCTCGCGCCCAGGCTCTGCCTGGGCACAAAGGCAGCTTTCAGGCTGTGGTTGCCTGATTTCTAAGCTGGGATCTGTATTTTGAGAGGCTGTGGAAGATTATAGTAATTGCACTTGACAGGGCAAGATGTCACAGGATGCGGATTTGCCCAGCTGCGGGGTCACAGCACCTGTCAGTCCATGCCTGTGGCATCCTTCCTAGCTGCTCCTTTGGTGCTTTGCCACAATCAATATGTACCCCCAAATTAAAGGAGGGTTATCCCTTTGCTTCCTGTCTGCATCTTGGCTCCTGTTGCAGCACTGGATTCAGCAAACTTTGCTCCTGTCAATACCCCATGCTGCCTGTTTGCTGCTGCAGTGCTGCAGCACACCATGGTCCCCAGCTGAGCCCAGGTTACCTGGAGCTGTGTCAGGTCAGGGCTCGTGCTTGAAGTCTCTGGGAGACACTGCCTGGTGGAAACCAGCCCTGTAGATAGCTGTCTCTGGAGTAAAACAGCTTCCAAAATGCCAAGGCACTAAAAAACTGCAGCTGGGGATTGCTGTCCCTGCACCCATCACCCTTTTTGGACCCTTTTAAAACATAAGCAAGTTATATTTGACTTCTGAAAAGCTCCACTTTATCAGGACACAGTGGCTTTGGCAGGAATGGCTCCTCAAAACACTGGCTGCTGATTGAGGTCCCTGCACAGGGGTTGCACTTTTAGCTCTACCTATTTGACAACAGTGATGTACCTTTGTAATAGCTCTCTGATTCAGAGCTAGTTTGAACAGTCTGTAGCATGCTGAAATGCACATTTCCCTTTTTTCTGGCTTTAAACCAATTTTCTAATGTGCATTGGAAAGGGCTGGGAAGAGTTTTCTGTGGCTGAAAGGGGCTGTAGCTGATGCTGTGCCCTGGTTTACACCATGCAGCTCTCAGGCTGTTTTCAGTTTGGCTTAGGAGTGAATCTAGATCCTTTGAGGGGGCTTAAAATAGTTGGCATATTTCTGCTGGCAGGGCTGTGTGATGTGAGGGCTGTTGTGTCTGCTGCCTTGTGTTATTTCTCGCTGCTGCCATGGGTAGGGATGATTCAGCATTTGGGATTAGGCGCTGCTGTTGCAGCAGATTTAGGGATCGATTTATGGCAGAGGCTTCCCTAGGTGTGATGAGGTGAATGTTGAGAGTGCAGGAGGATAAGTTGGGATAAAATACTACAGCTATTGGGGGATTTCTCTATGGTGGTTGTTTTGGGCTTTTTATTTCCGTTTTGGCACTGGAAGTTCTTAGCAGTGTTATACTTTTATTTAGATATTTTTCCTTGTTTAGGGAAAAATTGTTGCCTCACTGTTTTTGGATGGTGGTACTGGGTTTTGGATACAGGGTTTCATCCGTAAGGATGTGTTTCTTCTTGGCTGTATCCTGCCAGTGCTCCTCATTTGTTCTGTTCCCCTGAGGAGACCTAACACTTTGATGACTGATGTGAACTGCCTTTAAAGGCTGTGCTGGGTCAAACCCTGCTGTTAGAGGCACAAAGGGCTGTGCAGGACAACCTGTTACCCTGCACAGCTCCCAGTGCTCCAGCAGAAATTCTCCACCCTCTGCTTTAAAGAATGAGGAAAACCCAGGTATAATCATAGGAAATTGAAGTCTGTGGATGATGCAGATTTGTCCCTGTCCATGATGACAGGTAAATCTGCGCCATAACTTACCTGATCTCTGCAGTGCTGGAGCTCAGGGGGCGTTTGGGTACAGACAGTGCTTGGGTGAAGGCATCCAGACATGAGTGAGGAGCAGATGCTACCCAAGGATCTCCTCAGCGTATGGGCAACAGCGTGGGAACCACTATGGAAGGAGGTCTGCAGGGCTTTGCTGGCCCTGCAGTGTCATCCAGCCCTGGGCTGGGGAGCAGCTTCCAGAATGAAGTGGGTATGAGGGTGCCTGCAGTGGGGTGTCAGCCTGGATGTGCTCTCTCCAGACTGATGCCGACTCCAGCTCTTCTGGTAAAAGGCTGCCACCTATTGGTTATGCTGCACAACTTCAACTGCCTGGAAACGCATCCCTCCGTGTTTGGGGGCAAAGTCAGGTTGGGACATCTCTGGCATTATCGTGACCTTTGAGGAAGTGCTATGGAGGATTTAGCTTGGATTTAACCCAGGAAAGATGCAACCACGTGGACGAAATGCTCTGGTGTGCGGATATTAACCTGTATTGCTGCAAGATGTCCCTGAGGCCTTCTGGCCTTATTGTGGCTCTAGGAGACAGTGGGGGGTTGGCAGGGGACTCCAGGGGGAGCCCATCAAGGTCTGAGCATCCCCAGGGATGACTTTGCCCTGTGCTGTGTGGGGCTGTGGAGGTGGGAGCACACATGTGCACTGCTGTGAGATGGGTGATGGTGATGCCCAGCTAGTGCAGAGGATGAGGCATGCAGGGAAAAGCATGGATTATGCTTGAAAATGGAAATGAGAAGGTATTGATTTATAATTGGAAATCTTACTGAAGAAATAGGACAAACTTTCTATAAAGTTTTTGGTTTAAGAGAAGAATAAAATACCCTGAATCGACCCATAGATGAGGACAGCTTGGCTGAAGCCTCAGGCTCTGAAGGCACTTGTACAGCTCTTTTGAGCCCTACACATGGGGTCAGTTTCTGGGAGCTGCTGCCAGGCTGTGTGACCAAGCAGCTGGGGAGCTGGGGTTGGTGTGGGGTGGTTGGGGACCTCACTATGGGGCTGGTGTCTCTGTGAGACTGGTGGAAACTGCCCTCCATGGCAGGCTGGGGCTTGATGCTAATCCATTTTCCTGGGCGCACAGCCTTCCATCTCCAGCAGCTCAGGCCAGCTGTCGTATTTATTTGTTGTCTTATTGTTTTTGATGTACTGAAGGGAAAAAAGAGAGTAAATGAATGAGGTGGTTGATGCACAGTGTGAGTTTGCTGTGGGCAAAACTAGAAGCATGGAATAACACCACTGGCCCCTGTCTTCTGCAGACAGGTAGGAGAGGTGCTATGAAAAGGATGGAAGCCTCCAGAGCTGGTGGCAGGGGACATCCATGTACCTCTTCAAAGGGGCTCTTGTTCTTCAACCCTTTTGCTCCCAAGAAGACCCAGTTGCCCCTGAAGCCCAGCTTGCTCACGTGGCTGCTGCCCAGCTTAATGAAATGTCCCGCACCTTGTCATTCATCCTGAAAGAGGGTAAGAGGGTGTTAGTGTGGTGTCAAGTGGGCATCCCCTCCGGTCCCCTCTGGGCTGCTGGCAGCAGCACCTCCAGCTCCCCCCAGCTGTGGGTTTTGAGGAGCCACGTGTTGATCCTGGGGCCAAACTCACTTTGTGGCAGGGTCATCGTAGCTGTCTGTCAGCATGATGGTGTCGTGCTTGATCTCTTGGAGGAAAGTGTCCAGTTAATGTCTGGGAGGGAAGAGCATTAGGCAAAGAGAAAGGAACTTAGCAGTGACTGCTGCATGGCAGCTGGGGAACCTCCTCTGGGTCAATGGGAAATCCTGACTGTGCTGGTGCTAGCCAGGATTTGGGGTCATGGGCTTGCTTGGGAAGGGACAGGCTCTGCACTCCCCATCTTGTGTTCCCACCAGGGCTCTCCTGCAATGCCCAAGGCTTGTGCTTTCCTCCTGTTGGAGCAATTGCAAGGGGGAATTTCCTCCTAAACTTTGCTCACTGTGAAATCCAGTTACTTGAGGTTACTTTCTACAGCAAGAAATGAACCTGCTCATTGCACAGCTGCCTGCCCTGCAATCATCCCTTTGCTTATGTTGCTGAAATTATTCCTCATCCTTAGTCTATGGGATGCTGCTGTTTCCCCAGTGCCCCATCTAAGAGGAGGCTGGCACAGGAGCTGACTGCCTTCATTTCCCAGTTGATGCAGAGACTCAAATCCATTTCCACACATCTCTTGTTTGCTGTTTGCAAATTCACATACATAAAATGTTCAATCACATTGGCCCCTGTGAAACTCTGCAGGTAAACACTTCAATCACAATGCTGCAGACCCTCTCACAACCCCCACATCCTCTGGCCTTACCAAGAGGAGGTTGCAAAACCAAAAAGCAGAAAGAGTGACTGGTTCTGGGGAAGGCTCAAAGGGTAAATCAAAATCACTATGGGGTGGGTTTAGCATATGATTTTTGAGGAGTCCTGCCAAAACTCTGGAGAGATTTGGTAACAGCTTTGCGCTAATGTTGGGATTTACAGCATCCTGCAAGCCAGTGCCAGCCAGGCTGTGAGCAGGGCTGTCCCTGATCTGGTCATCTTCTTGCTGGTCGAAAGGTTGTTTAAAGCTGGCAGCTGAAAGGACATGGTCTTTGCTGCCACAAGGCTCTGCTCCATCTGCCTGACTGGGGCAGGGAGCTACATCTCTCCAGCTGTGTCCCAAGCTCCTTATTTACCCTCCTATGAAAGGCAGGGAAATAACCTGCTGCTCAGCCACCCCCAGCATTAGAAAACTGAGTTGAAAGTTGCAAAATCTCAAGATCAGTGTAACTACCTGATTTCAAAAAGTAGCCTCCCTCGGGTTTTAAGTGCCCTGGTGTACTCAATTCAGTGGAATTATGTTTTTCAGGCTATTATCTGCATGTAAAAGGAGTGAGAAGCCAATCTTGGATGCAGATGTATTATGAGGACTCCAGCCTCAGGGACTGCTGAGCTTTCACTGCCCAAGCTGGCAATCCTGGTCAAAGTCCACTAGACTCGATCATTAAATACACCAAGGAGGAGCAGCCTGAACAGCCAGCACTGCTGGTGTGAGCCCTGGCTGGGAACCACGGAGCAGCAAAGTGACTGTGCTTACCTCCAGAGTACATGTCGAACGTGTCAGCTGTCAGGAGCTGCCCATTAGTTCCTGAAAGGTTAAAACTGAGAACAGAGCACAGTGGGATCATGCTGGGGTGGCTCCAGGGTTTGCCTGGCCACCAGCTTGGGGTTCCTGCTGTAAAATGCTTTGCTGTTCCATCAGTGTGTTATATTTGCTGTGATGGCCAGTATGTTGTTTGATAGAGTTCAAGTGCATGATGCAGGTGGGTTTGTTCCCATCTTGGTGGCAGTGCTTGCAACCATAACTGTGGCTGTGCACCCTGTGCAACACTGGGCTGATGGACTTTTGCCTCGGCTACAGTGCCTGGGATTAGGACCCAGTGGTCAGTTTGCTCCTGGGGGAAGAAGAATTTTCGCTATGGGGAGATGGGGGTTAGTGTCCACACAACTCGCCATTCACCAAAGCGATGTTCAAGCCTCTGCCAATGTTGTTTTTCACACTGCTCATGAGGCTGGAAGGGAAAGCGGAGAGGACCAGTAAGTACAGGGATGCCCTGGAGATGCTGGAGCCAGTAAAACTCATGGGGCAAAGTGGTTGTAGACAGCAAAACATACCCAGAATTGTAGCAATGAAAACTACTTCCTAATTTCTTTTTAAGCACAAATGCACTGTGATGGCCACTGATGTGCTTGGCAGAGGCCACTTGCCCTGTGCAAGTCCACCCATGGCTGCCCCATCTCTGCCATGTGCTGCTTACACCACGTCATCGAAGCAGATGGAGGGTCCCACCACGTTTGCGGTGCCGCTGATGATCTTGAAGGCAAAATGGTTCTGGGGGCAGCTCTTATGGCTCCCACACCTGTGCTGGGGCAGCTGCTGGCCTGTGAGGGAGGAGTGGAGCTGCAAGCCATGGTGTTGGCTCTATGGGGGGACATAAGCCATGTCCCCAAGGGGCTGAGAAGGGCTGGCACTGCAGCACTGTGACCTACTAAGGTGGGGCAACACCTGGACCAGTTTCTTACATGAAGGAGGCTTGTCTTGGGGTTGGGACCAGCTTCTTCAAGGTTTATGGTGCTTGGGGGTGTGGGACAAGCTGGCTGGGGCACTGGGTGCTGCTTGGTGTTAGCAATGGGATGGTGAGGCTAATTCAATGGGTCTGGTGCTCATTCAAGGCCAGCCCCATAGGGATTTTCTGCCTGGAGCTTTCCCATTCTTGGGTATGGTAGGGACCTGTGTCAAGCCACCCAGATAGGCCCATGACCTGCTTCCTGGTGTAGCCTGTGGCCCAGGGGTGTTTCTGCTGGGGCAGGGGAATCACATTAAGGTTTGTGTGCTTGCAGAGCCAGCCAAAGACACTGCTGTTGTGTGCAATAGCGAAATTCCCCAATGTTTGGGAGGGTGGGATTTTTGCCTTGGGAAAAGGGCTCTTGAGGAGAGTTATCACCCTTTTACTATCACTCTCAGGCATGGAGCAGTCTTGTGTGATGGAGATGCAGTCGAGAGCAGTGGTACTCGCTGCTGGGCTTGTCCACGGCACCTGCAAGCAGGAGGGTTAGACGTGGTGAGGAGCTGCTGGCTTTTCCACAAGCCAGGAGCAGCTGTTCAGGCACTGGGTCTGCAAAACTGCTCCCTGTGGCTGCAAGCACCACTTGAGCCACCCGTCCCGGTGCATCTTCCTGCATCCTCCCTCCAGACCCAGTTGGAGACCTGCAGTGCCTCACCAGTCCAGCTCCTCAGGCTGATGGCTTTCCAGCTCTGATCGAAGTACATCTGCAGGATGAACCATGTGCCCAGCAGCGTGAAGAACACAGCCAAGTATCGGATCAGGCCTGCAAGGGGTGTGAGAGGAGCCAGGTGAGTGCAGCAGCATGGGTTGTGGACCAGAGGATCCCTCTGGCTTCTTGGGAACTTTGTGTATCCCCAGGTTGCCTGTCATTGAGTGACAACCAGTGCTTGTGTGGTGTGGGAATGCAGCTAACATGCCTTCCTGCCTCCTCTAAAAGGACTCTGATCTCTTCATATCTCTAGAGTATGTGGCAATGCTCAGATAGACATTACCCTTCTCCTGGGAGGCACTATTCATATTTCTCTCTGCGTTAAAGTAAATCTGATAATTAGTCAGAATGCTATGTAAATCCAAATATTTCCTACGTTCCCAGCACTGGGAAGGCTGCTATCCCCCAGTTAGTAACTAGCTACAGCCAAGCAGCTTCTAACAGAAAGGTGATTGGCATTTAGCTTTAAAGCAGCACTCATCAGAGCAAAACTTTCCAGTCCTGCATGAAAAGAGTAGAAAAATACATTTATAGTGCAGCTGAATGGCTCTTAAGCAACCAGGAACATCTCAATAGCCATCTCTTTCCAGCCACAGAGGGTTTCACTGGGCAAAACACAACAGCCTGAAATCCTCACAAAGCTGAAAAACCTGATGCTTATACAAAGGCTCTTTCCCATGCTTCTGGCAGGGGAAGGTCAGGGTATATATGGGCTTGGAAGGGGTCATGTAAATGAGAAGGAGGTCTAAAGAACTGTAGAAAAATGGTCAGAGAAAGACTAAATCTGTCTCCCTCCTTACCTGCCGTCCTCATAGTGATGGGGAGAGAAAGCACAGCCAAGGGGGTGGCCAAAAGTCACAAGTTACCCTGAGGGAATAGAATGAAATAGCATAAAGCATTCCTGTAACCCACCAAAGCCAGGCAGGTGTTAGTTGGGAAAAGAAGAGAAAAGCTATGTTCAGGCACATTTGCAACAACTACGAGGTCACCAAAGATGTATAAATTCCTATCAGTGCTTGGTTCTACCCTGATGTTGGTGTCTTGGCTTCTGTACGTTGGAGCAGTCTGCACTGATGCTACTTGCTTCATTTTTAAGCCTCTGACCTCTTTAGCATGACTTTGCTGCCCTGTGTGCTCCTGTTTCATGTCCTTTTCTATTCTGCTGATAGTGATGAGCTCAAGGAGCCTATCTCTGATTATGGCTTTGGTGTATTTCCTTCTGGGATGATGCAAAGTAGCTTTCAAATATTAGGGGCTGCAAAATGCCATCTGAGGACAAAATATGAATTGGCTTTGCCCAGTCAGGGGAATGAGCTTGTCCCTCCAGAAAGGGAAGGGAAGAAGGGCAGTGCTGGGCAGAGCAGCCAGGTTTGGGGATTCCTAACTTAGAACAGAAGTATTTCCACTTGTCCAAATCGTGCAGTGTCTTCACCCACACAGATGGGGAGGGGTTGGAATTTGGAGTGTGAGCTATTTCCTACCTGAGTGAGCACATCTGACCCCCCACTTCTGCTGCCACCTTGATGTGTGTGATTGGCACCTCCTTAGTGCTGGGATTATGCTCCTACCTTTGAAATTTGGGAGTGCAGCCTGATGAATGTTCATCCTGGAAACTCCACTGGAGTCCTAAGATAAACTGTCACATGTGAGATGTGTGCTCAGGGTTAAAGAGCCTCATGTTGATAAAAGGAGCCCTTCAGTGAGGCTTCTCATAGAGATTTTGTAGAAGAGTTATGCTGAGAGTTGCTTTTCCTGTTTGAAGGGTAAATAAGGAGCACTGGGTTGCAGCAGGGCTGGGATGAAAGCTGATTTCAGGGTATTGCATCATGAGGAAGAAGAGAAGAGCTTTGCTGCCTGGCCAGCCCTGCTCTGGGTTAACTCCCAGGGCTTGAGCTCAGGAGATGTGGCCCCTGATTCACCCAGCATTCCCTCTCAGCACCCTTGGGAAATGCCCCGCTTTGGATTCCTCTGCACCCTGGGAGAAGCTGCAGTATTATGCTATGGGGCTTTAAGCCTTGAAAAGCGAGATGACAATGATCTGCATTGCAGGAGGAAAGCTGTTGCTTTTCTGCTTGGCCTGAGCCCCCCAAAGGGAGTTTGCAGTGGGCCAGGGTGACTGGTGCCAGGTCAGAATGACATTCCTGCAGGGATGTCTCCATTGTCTGGAGCCTGGCACTGCTTCCTGTGGGAGCCCTCCACTGTGAGGCTGCGGCAAGGAGGAGCTGCCAAAGCCACTCCAGCAGGGAGCTAGCAGCTTCCCACAGTGGAATGGCCTCTTGGCTTATCTGCCTCTTAAAGGCAGCCTTCGAAGGTATTTGTGTACTCTTGCAATGTGTTCTTGATAGTGTATCGGCTCAGCACGCTTCCTTCCCAGCAGCATCTCACTTCTCTTCACTGTAGCTATTCCACCAAGAAGGTGCCCATGAGCAGGGATCTCTCTGCAGGAGGTGGTACAGGGTTCTCGATGCCCACAGCCCTTCCTCTCATCACCTTATCCTGGCCTATTCCAGCCCCTGGCATGGTATCCCAGAAACGGGTTTTAAACTGATGTTGGCGCTGGCATGAACAAGCCTGTTTCACTGAGCTGGTGGAAGAGCCACAGACCTGCATATGGACAGTTGAAAGGTTTTGGAGGGCAAATGTTGCCCGTGGCTGGATCTGGGCTCTTGCATTTTGCTCCTTTCAGCGTGAAGTTTTGCTATTTTAATGCAGTGAGTCTCTCCCATGCGAGGGTCCCCAGCCCAGTGCCTGATCTGGTGATGGGTGTGATAGGTGCAGAAGAGCTTTCCTTAACATCCGCATTGGTAAGTTGCAGAGGCTTCAGAATTGGTATCGCTTTGCTTTTGGAGCTTCTGCAGCTCCCATTCCTCTCAAACACGATGAGCAGAGCCTGAAGCTGGTGAGGGTTTCGACCTGGGCTGTGACTTGGACAAAAGCAAAACTCCACTAGGTTTGCAAAACTGTCCCTGTTTGGTCCCCACTGCTGCAGGGGACACTGGCCTCACCAGGGCCTGTTGCACAGTGCTCTCTGCCAAACTTGTGTTTGCTTTATGCACATACTGATTTCATTGCAAAGGAAGAGAAATGGAAAAATAAACCTACAAACACGAGGGCTTTAGGGAAGTCATGTATTTATTTGGGCTTTTTATCTTCCCCTTAATCCTAGGTAAATTTTAGTGGGTGACCTTCCAAGTTCCTGGAACCTGATTGCATTACAGGAGGGTAGCCCTGGCCTGGGATTTCTATTCTCTTTCAATTGTTTGGCTTGATTTTCTCTTCCCCCCCACCCCCCAGCTGTGCTGGGAAAAAAGATGACTCTGCTTTGGCATATACAAGAGGGTAACACGCAGGAGAAGGGAAGGAACAGTGGTGGGTAATAGGCAGTTACTTGTCTAATAAACCTGAAATCTATTTGCTTAAAAACCATTCCAGGAACAAGAAGGTTCTCAGACAAATATTGATAAAGAGGTCTGTGGTGCTGTAAAGCAAAGGCTCCACCCTGAGCCTGCTCGGGATTGAAGTGCCGCTTGGCAGCACTGAGTTAATGCTGTCAAGAAGAAACCCAGGCAGATCCCTGCCTTTGCAGGGAGGTTTTCCAGGATGCAGGTGAATGTTCCTGTTTCTTCCCAGCACTGCAGGAAAACTTCATTTCTCTTCCCCGGAAACTTCTCCCTTTGTTGGGTTTGGGATATTTTCGCTGCTTTTCATCCACACATCCCTCTCTCTCTCAGCAGGTCCCTGACCGTGAATGAAACTGCATTTTGGTGTGATGTGGGGATGTAGCTCCGAAGAGTGTCACTGCCAGATGTCACCAGTGCCCACATCCGGTGAGTCACCCCTCCAAAAGTGAGGGGTTTCCTGCAAAAATGAAGGTAGGGGTGCATAAGAGGGGCTCGTGTTGGGTGGGAGCACATCCACCCTGTGTCCAGGGATGGACAGAATGGAGGATGCTATAATGCCATTTTTAGTCTCAAAAGAAGACAGTCTGACTGACTGAGTTTTGAGTTATGCAGTGGAAGAACACTGTTTGCCAGAGGGCTTATAAATTCCTCAGCTCATAAAAGCTCTTGGCCAGCTGCTGCATCTGCCAAATGGCTGGAGAGGGCATTTTGCAGTGAAACTGCCCCCAGTGCAAGTCAATAGTTAACCGCAGTGAGTTCCTGATCCTGAAACAGAAGCCAAACAGGATGCACAGTGGTGGCAGGCAGGGGTGCTGAGCCCTGTCTGGGAGCAGGACTGCAGCCAAGGTGGGATGTGACACTTAGAGGTGCTGCACACATCCACAGCCATCACATTCTCTCTCTTGCTCTTTTATTTGTTATTGGTGGCCACTTATTTGGCTCTCGGAGTCCAAAGCTAAATCATTATTTCATTGCCTCTCCAGCAATGTCTGTCCAAGCAGTGAATCAAGAGCTGCAGCAGTGATGAGATGTTGGGGATTGCATCCCCTCTAGCACAGGAAAGCAGCTGGTAGCTTGGTGGGGATCCCTGTGCTGTAGATTACAGGTACCAAAGTGGCTCGTGCCAAAACCCCAGGGCAAAAGGAGGGACACAAGTGCTGGTGTTCAGAGATGGCAGCAAGCTGTCTGCTGGGTAGAGGTGCTTCCTGGGGTTGAAAGGGAAAGTGTGGACCATGCTGTAATCCCTCCACTGGGAAGCTGTGGTGAAGGGTTCTGGTTTTGGTGATTATATGTGTGGAAGTACCTGAAATGCATTTTCAGCATCTAGCGAAGCCCTGGATGCCAGCACCCTGAGGGCTCCTGGTGAGTGCACAGGAGGTGTCCTGGTAGTCAGAGCTGTGTGTGTCCTGAGTTCAGCAGTAGCAGTCACTTTTCTCTTTCATAGTAGCTGGTGCAGTGCTGTGTTTTTGACTTTCAGCCTGGGAACAATGCTGATAACACCGATGGTTTTAGTTGTTGCTAAGTCATGTTTACTCTGACCAAGGACTTCTGAGCCTCATGCTCTGCCAGGGATGAGGGGGAGCCGGGAGGAATCAGAGTCAGGACACCTGACCCAAACTAGCCAAAGAGGTATTCCATACCACAGCACATCTTGCCCAGTATTGAAACTGGGGGCACTTACCCAGAAGGCCCAGATAGCTGCTTGGGTCAGGCTGGGTATCAGTCAGCAGGTGGTGAGCAGTTGTATTCTTTTCCCTTGTTATTCCCCTTATCATTATTATTGTTATTGGTGGTAGCAGTAATAGTTTTGTGTTATGCCTTAGTTACTGGACTATTCTTATCTCAACCCGTGGGTGATACATTCTTTTGATTCTCCTCCCCATCTCTCTGGGAGTGGGGGGGAGGAAGAAGCGGGGGGAGTGAGTGAGCACCTGAGTGGTTCTGGGTTACCTGCTGGATTTAAACCATGAAAATTCCTTGTGGCGCCCAACATGGGGCACGAAGGGTTGAGATAATGACAGATCTGACCAGACTGTGTCTAATCATATCTGTGATAAGCATTCATTGTTTCGGATTAATAGTCACTCGTCACAATGCTGATTTATTGGCTAAGTTGTTGCTCTTGATCTTGGAGTTTCAGCATGTTGTACCTTACTTACAGCCAGTATTTGCTGTTTTAGTGTTTATTGGCTGGGGAGCTTGGGTTAAGGTTCTTCTTTCACTGTACTTTATGGTAATGGCTTATAATACAGTAGATTCATTGATCATCAAACTGATGTGGCTTGCGTTCCCAGTGTGGTCATCGCCTCTATACTTTGGGAGGTATATAATGGAAGTGTTTAGCAATTACGCATCTTTTTTTCCCTCCTTGGGTGGTTAACGTATGAAGGAGACATGTCCTTATGTTCCCAGCTCCACCACCAGACTATTTACAGCATCATTTGAGAGTTGTGAAGGTTTTGAATGGCCTTTGAGTACCCTTGAGACCTGTCTGCTGATTGTGATGGGGATCGCTATGTTGGCATGCGTAAGAGTGTGTTTCAGCCACGACCATTTCGTCTGATCTCAGAAGTTAAGCAGAGTCGCGTTTGGGTTTGATGACGATATAGGGAGACCAAGAGATTTTCCCTGAGGCTGGACAGTCATGAATGGCAGGGTGTGTGGGATAGTACAGGCAAGTATCTAAGCCAGTGGGCCCCTCCAGTGCTTTGGAACTCACCACTGAACAAGTGCAAAATCTGGAAAAACTAGTAAAACACTTAAACAAGGTGTGTTGTCATCCTGGTCATACCAGAGAGGGACACATCATGGCAACATTCTGGGGCTTAGCCTATGCTGTTCAACACTATCCAGCACCTTCAAAGTGAAAAAGATGTCTCTGGATCTGATGGCAAAGCACCAGACAATGCAGCTACTCCAACTCCAAATACAGCAGCTATACCAACCCCAGTGACAAGTACAGCAGCTACTCAAACTCTGACTACAACAGACAACGCAGCTACTCCAAGCACAGCAACTACACCAACCCCAGGGACAAGTACAGCAGCTACTCAAACCCCAAGCATAACAGCTGCACCAACCCCGACAACAGATACTGCAGCCACTTCAACCACAGTGGTAATCACTGCAGCTAAACCAAAGGACCAGTTTGTGCTAATATTGGTTGCTCCTGTACGCAAGGGGAAAAAGCAAACAAGAGGCACAAAAAGCAACCCATACAGTGAAGAAAGATGAAAAACCAACGCACTTACTACACGGGACAGCATTCGAACAAGTGTTATTATGTGGATCAGAGAAAGGGGAAGAAGAGGTGACTTCTCAACCGCAGACCTCAACTGAGCTACAGAATATGCTAAAAGATTTTACCCATCAACCAGGGGAGCACATCATCACCTGATTGCTCTGATGCTGGGACAATGGGGCCAACGGTCACAAACTAGAAGGTAGGGAAGATAAGCAGCTGGGATCATTTGCTAGGGAAGGGGAAATTGACACAGCAATTGCAAAAGAGA